CATATGCAAGTCAATAAACATAATACACATATAAGCAGAGCCAAGGACAAGAACCAAAGAACCACATGGTCATCTCAATAGGTGCAGAAAAAGCTTTCAACAAAATCTGACACTCACTATAAAAACCCTCCAGAAAATTGGAATAGATGGTCTCTACCTCACTCTGATAAAAGCCATCTATGACAAACCAACAACCAACGTCTTACTAAATGGACAGAAACTGAAAACTTTCTATTTAAAATCAGGAAGGAAAGAAGGATATCCATTATCAAGACTCTTGTTCAGTATAGTTCTGCAAACAGTAGCCAGAGCAAAGATAAGAAAGAGAAATAAAAGGAATAGGAAAGGAAGAAGTAAAATTATTATTATTTGCAGATGATATGATATTCTACGTAGAAGACCCCAAGAACTCAATCGAAAGCCTCCTGAGACATAATAACCAAAATCAGTAATGTAGCTGGATACATGGTCAACACTCAAAAATCAATAGTATTCCTCTACACAAACAACAAACTCACTGAGAGGGAAATAAAGGAAACTACACCCTTCACTATAGCACCCCCTAAAAAATGAAATACTTAGAAATCTAACAAAGTAAGTAAAAGATCTATATATAGAAAACTACTTTACACTGAAAATGGAAATCAAAGAGAATTTCAGAAAATAGAAAAATATTCCCTGTTCATGGATAGGAACAACAAACATTGTGAAAATGGCCATACCCAAAATTATTATACAGACTCAAAGCAACTTCATTCAAAATGCCACTTGCATACCTCACAGATCTAGAGAAGTCATTCCCAAAATTCATCTCGAATCTGAAAAAATCTAGAATAGCAAAGGCAATTCTGGGCAACAAAGCTAATGCAGGAGGTATCACAATTCCCAACTTGAAAATATATTGCAAAGATACTGTGATAAAATCAGCATGGTATTGGAATAAAAACAAACCTGAAGATCAGTGGAGTAGATGAGAAGATATAGCTACAACTGCGTACACACTCAGCCACCTCATCTTTGACAAAGGAGTTAAACATGTTCACTGGAAGAAAGATAGCCACTTTAGTAAATGGCTTACCATATGCCAAAAACTAAAACTAGATCCATGCCTATCACCATACACTAAACTAATCAAAGTGGATCAAAGATCTAATATTAAACAGAAACACTTAAGTCTATTCGAAGACAAAATAGGTAGAAATCTTGACGACACAGGAGTAAGCATAGAGTTCATGGACAAAAATCAACCTGCATAGGAAACAAATCAAACAAAGCAGTGACTGAAATCACTTCTTATTAAAAAGTTTTTTCATGTCAAAAGAAATCTCCAACAGAGTGAAAAGAAAACCCATGAATTGGGAAAATATCTTAGCCAACTGTCCATCAAACAAAGGACTTCTATCTAGAACTTAAAAAGAATTTTTAAAAATTAGACCCCCAGAATTCAAGGACTCAATCCAAAAAATGGGCATCTGAGATAAATACACATTTCTCAAATAAAGAAATACAAATGGCAAATAAATTCATGAAAAAATGTTCAACATCAGTAGTCATTCAAGACAGGGAAATTAAAACCACGCTGAGATTCTATCTCACTAGAAAGGATCAAGAAATCAACCAAGAAGAAATGCTGGACGGGCTACATGTAAAAAGGAACTCTTCTCCACTGTTGGTAGGAGTGTAGACTGGTGCAACCACTAGAAATCAGTGTTGAGCATCCTCAGAAAGCTAGGATTAGGGATTCCATTTGATCGAACTATTCCACTTGTGTGCATATTCCCAGAAGAACTGAAAACATCATACCACACTGATATATGTGCACCCATGTCTATAGCAGCACAATTTGTGATAGCCAAATCTTGGAAACAGCCCAAGTGCCCATCAATCAAGGAATGGATTTTAAAAAGTGGTATTTTTATACAGTGGAGTACTACTCAGCTATAAAGAAAGATTGCATCAAGACTTTTATAAGTAAATGGATGCGACTTGAGACCATACTCATAAGTGAAATAAATCAAACTCTCATGTATATACTGTATTGTCTCCCTAGAGTAAGAAACTAAAAAATTATATATGTTCTAAAATGCACATTAAGTATTGTGTAAGGGTAGGTAACTGTTCAAAGAGGAAAAGTAATTGGAGTAAGAGAAAGGAGGAAAGAAGGAAAAGCAAAAAGACACAAATTTGTACATACACACACACACATATATATACACATATATGATAGCAAAAATGACTATAAATACTAATTGTATTAGTTATTGGAAAAAGAACAGTTAATATGCATGTTCAGATCAATTTTACATATCTATATCTGTTAATACTAACGCTCTTAATGGTAACAATGCAATATAATAACCATTATCAAATTCTTGTCATCTTGTTTTGTAAACTTATACTGTTACTGTATTTGGTTTCTTGTTGTTATTTGTCTCTGTATTGCTTTTTGTTTTTCTTTCTTGAATCTTTTTATTCTTAAATAAAAAATTAAGAAAATGAATTCTAAGGAACAGTGAAAGTTAAGAGTAGGAAATATTTAATGAGGGTGTAGTACATCTATCTCCTGAGAGGCAGGAGGGTTCCCAAATGGGTTGCCCTATGTTTAATAATTTTAAACAAGTTTACTTATTGTTCATATCTAACAATTCTATTACCAAAAGTTCTTGGTAATATACATATTTGGAAATGAGATTAATGTTTCCTAACCAATGAACTTATTTTTAAATAAAATAATCAGTGAATAAGATTTTGCCTTTAGTGTTCTTTTTTTATGAGAATCCTTTAAAAATTGAGGACCTATTTTGTACAGATGTTATGGGATAATCAGAGATTTGATAGCATTTTTATGTAAATAAGAATTAATATTCCTGAACCACATAGGTTCTGTAAATTAAAGCCAGTCAATACATGGAGGGATTTTTCATTTGTTTTAGTTTTCCCAGGTGGTCTCTACTTTTTTTCCACAAGCTCTATTATCAAAAGGGGCAAATTTCCTTGTTCTTTCTGCTTCAAATGGGCTGATATTTTCTTGACCTTTGAAAGATCCTAGCCCTAAGTAGGCAGCACAATTCAAAATCTTGCCTTGTCTCAAGATAACTGTTAAAAGTCTATACTTTCACTTACTGAGAGTGCCGAGACTGACTGAGGCCACTAAAACTCTCATTTCATCCTTCAAATTTTAATTTATTCTTTTTAATTTGGAACCATAGTTTACTATCTTATAAAATAGTGGTAGGCATTTAGTTTTGCCTTATAGGTATTTGTTCAGTGTTTTTTTCTTTTTGATTTATCCTTGAAAACAATTGGTCTACAAAAATTAATAATTTCTTAAAATCAATTATCTCAATTATTTATCCACAATATCACAAAAGAAAAGTTAGCATTATATACCAGAAAATGTGTACATCTATGGTACTGTTGACTTGATTTAAATTTTCTTTTTACTTCTATGGTCATAGAAGTAAAGTTCATGTTTTGGATTACTGATTTAATTCATCATATGTATGCTATGCCTAAGTACTTTTTATTTTTCATCAGTGCTTTAGTGTTTTTCTTATTTGGTTTTCTGCCATCTTTTCCATTTTAAGATATTTTTATGTATTTTAGCACTCCCAATTGAGAGCACATCAGTTGTTAAGTGTTTCTCACATTGGTCATTTTATAGAATTTGAGCTATTAGACTGTAATTGTGGTGTTTCTCAGGATCTAAACTCTCCCTCTATAGTCATAGATTTAATACTTCTTCCTATTAGTCTCAATCCACTGGATCTTTTAATTCTTTAAAATTGAATTTCTTGAAATCCAATACTTATGTGTCCAGAACCAGATGATCCAGTTTGCTTTTTTGGCAAACATCATGTAAAGCACTGCCTGTTGCAGATTTAACAAAAGACATTAATATTTTCTGAACTACTTTGATTTTAAAAAAATGAGAGAGGATGTAAAAACACTTGAACTTTATTTAGCCTTCACGAGATAAACTAAAATCTTTGGTTTCAATTTTGTCTTTATATAAGAGAATGGAAAGAATATTTGTAAAGAAATTGATGATTTGAAGGATATTTTGAGGTATGACTTCTAGTAAAACGTAAACACAAAAATGTTTTTTATAAAGTTAAAACTAACAATACAGACAGTAGAAATAGGAATATATAGGGTAGATGTTAGAATCTGTACTAGTTTAAACTTTGGTTTCTTAGTAGTTTTCCAGTGTCATCTCTATCCATGCATGCAAGGCTTCCTTCGAAATGATTTTTTGAATGCCAAGTTGAAATATTTTGCTAAATCATTGATCAAAGGTCAGAATGAATAAATAATTTAAAAAGAGACCAAAAAGCTCTTAGGGTGTCAGCTTGCCCTTCAGGTCCAATTTTGGAACTTTTGTTCCCGTTGGGTGGCCTTAACCCAGTGCCCAAACTTTATTTCCTCATTGGTAATGTGGGAGTAATAATGCTCTTGATTTCTCATACAAGATTGTTTTCAGGAAGCTTTGGTTCATATACAAAAACCATTTAACATACTGCACAGGCTGTAATAATCCATAAACTTAAATGGTTTCTAGAGCTTGAAAAAAGTTGAGAAATTAAGAGGATATGCTCATAAACCTAACAAAATTAGAAAGATAGCACTTGTTAAACTACTAAACTATTAAAAATTCCAACAATAGTAAGATTAGTGATTGTAACCAAAGAAGTGTAAAACATAAATAAGAACAAAAATAACTAAAAACAGAACTAATTTGGTGAAACATTCTGGGATGACACTAATTTTCATTTCTTAATTACATCTAAATTTCTCAGTGCGTATTTTTTACTGTCTTGTGTAGATTTACAGAAATGAAGTTAAGATATTGTGACTAAAAATATAGAATGAGGCACTCAGTAAAAAAATGTACTATCATTTTGTTATATGTTGCAGCACAAAAACATATAAATTTAATGAAATTATCCCTGCAAAGGTGAAATGACGAGTAATAGTTTGTTTTTGTTTTTGTCTTTTAGCATAAGGCGACATCAAGAAAGGAGAGCAATTTTGACCCCCATTTTGACAGATTTTTCTGTCCGAATAACTGGAGCTCCTGCCATCATTTTCACCAAAATTATTTCTCCAGAAAATCTTCATACTGAGGTTAGAACATAATGTAGATTTAATTTTAGTCTAAATAATGGGAGTAATTCAGTTCACAGGGGAATCAAAATGGCTTAATAACAATAGCAATTTCCATCATAGCTAATTTATAGTAAGCACTCTCTGGTACTATTAATTTATTTTTTGTGTAATAACTAATTTAATCTTTATAATAATCCTATCAGCTATTTCTGTCTATGTTTTACAAATGAGGAAACTAAGACCTAGAGGGATTAACCAATGTACCATATTTTCACAAATAAGAAATAGGCAGGTGTGGACTCAGCCAACTGTTCTGGCTATATCCTGTACACTCAGCTTCTTCAGCCTCTTTCTAATGACAGTAGCCATAATAATGACATCGAATCCTCACATAGATTACCTTACATAGTGAGTTGCACATGGGTTACTTTAGTACTCACAACATCCTTACGAGTTAGATACTATCTATATTTTATAGGTGAAGAAGCTCAGGTCAAAAGAGATTAACTCAATTAGTGTTAACTGGTGGGCCCAGGTTTCAGTTCTGATTATTATCATGTACTGCTTTCATGCCTGGAAAGAAATATAATAGTACAAACCACCATAACCTAAAGGGGAAAATCTTAATAGAAATTTGTTATGCTGAACACATTATAAATACTTTGCTCCTTCTCAAATGCTAAAGGTGATTGTTACGAAAAGTTCAGAAAATTAGGAAGAGATTGAATACTTAGGAGTCATTCAATTCCCTGATTTAAGACAGCCCAATTTATAATTGTTTATAAAATTACACTGTAAGAAGCTGATATGTAGTCAGGAAAAAACCAATTGTAAATTTTAAATTTTGTTCCTTTCCTGGGCTAGTCATATATAAGACTACATTGTTTCTCTCTAAATTTTTAAAGACAATATTTGTGCATTTATTGTCTTATTTGGTGTTTGTGATAGCTCTGTGGGGAAGGTTGAGTTAGGCAAAGTTTATTTGTATCCAAAAATGGTATATGAAGATTATATGTCTTACTATCTCATAGTCATTTAAGAATATGGTTTAGAATACATGAAACGCCTTACGAGTGGCTTTTTTTTCTGTAGGTACTGCTGTGAAATATGAATTCATATACAAATTGGAATTAAATTTTGTTTTTGTTTTTTGGGATTGGGTTTTGTCTTTTGTTTTGTTTTGTTTAGAGATGGTCTCACTGACGAGTTAAAGATGGCATTGAACTCACTGTAACCCAAGCTCACTTCAAACTCTAATTTCCGTACTTCAGCCTATCTAGTACTAGAATCACAGGTCTACACCACTGCATCCACACACCAGGCTGGAATCACATTTTAGAACTGCTTCAATTTCTTGTTATATCTGACTTATACAAATGAAGTAGCAGAGCCAGGTTGTACCTTAGTGGAAGAAAGCTTGTCTCACATGTTAATTTTGACCCCCCGCACCAGAAAAAAAAAGAACAAAAGAAAGAAAATCACTTCTAATTATTAAGAATTTATCTTGCCTTCTCATCACTGTGACAAAATACCCAATACTCACAATTTAAAGGAGAAAAGATTTCTTTGGCCTACATTTTAGTCCGTAGTGTGCCGGCTCCAAGGTAGGAGGGGACAGCCAAGGGACAGAATGGAAGAAGAACCTGGAAGGGAAATACCACCTATCAGATCACGCCCCACTGACCTTCCTCTTCTGATTATGCCCCACCACCTGCCACCACGTTTAGCTATAACATCCGTGCTTCAATCACCATTCAGAAGCCCCACTTATGAGCAATTGGGGGGCATTAGGTATAAACCATAATAGGCTTTTTCTGAAAATACTCTTTCTTGAAATTCTTAAATAAGTCTCATCACAAAATTCAAATGAAAGAATGCATTAGACTGTTAAAATACCATCTCATTTTAGTTAACATGTCTTCTAATTTGAAGGGATTATTAGAAAGTTTATAGCAGGGAGTTAGAGCTCAGAAAATTGAATCCTATGACAAACCCAGCTTCATGTTAAAAGATGTCATCTTCAGCCATGCACTTTAAATTTCCTGTTCATCAGTTTCCTTTCACCTACCTTAGTTGCCATATATAAGACTTGCCAGTTTGTTCTCCAGGTTGTTTCAAGGATCAAATTGATCAAGAGACAATAATTATTAAAGCAATATATAGTTTTTTATATTAGATACTGATTCTACCAATAGCATTGATGCCACTTAACCTACTATTACAGGATCAATCATTTGATAGTTTTAATATGACATGTTTTACTGATAGACTTAAGATATTTTAGTACAAAATTTCATCCTCTTGGGAAATGTTACAGTGACAATTTTAAAATTGTTCTGAAGTTTTAAAAACTTCGGAAACAGTGTACTTTTTCTCTTTTTACCGTTGTTAAAGAATACAGTAGGAACTCCAAGTATAGTGAATACAGAAGACTCGTGGAGAAAAAGTTTTTTTAAAACTAACAAAAGAATAGTCATGTCAGAATGTTGTTCTTCATGGCTTTATTGAAAGCCACCGTCAGGTATCTAATTTGTAGTTGGGCAGCCATGCTATCCTTGAATCCATTCCTTTGAATGCCACTAATACAGAGAAAATTTGTTGGATTTTTCAAAGCATTTGAATGTTGTCTACTTGCGTATCAGATAGGAGCCAGGATTTCTGCCTATTAAGAGAAGCTTCTGGGTTGTTTTTATTTGTTTTCCTACCCTAACCCATTTTGCAGTAATAAGTGATTTAGTAATTCAGAACAGCACTGATTAGGTAATAGATGTTTGCCTAATGCTGCCAAAATCTTAGCATTTTAAAGAAGAAAATTAATTAGTCTAGCTATCTTTGGCTTCAGCACTCTAGTTTGTTATAAATCATTTGGAGTATATCCCTTTGAGAATGTCCATAACATGGTATTTGCAATTGTAAATGCTTGTCTTTATTTGTCTGCCTCATTAGATTATAACATCTTCAAGAGCAGAGTACCCTTCAAGGCCAGCTTTATTCTATATTTCAAGTACTCTCCCATGGTGCTGGTACTTAGGAAATGCTGAGTAAATATTGTTTCATTTGAATTGGTGAACAAAATTCTGCTACCGAATGACATCGTTTGTTACATATTAAAACAATAATAGTAGTTTGAGGTCTGAAAAAGCCAAATAGATATAAAAGGTGAAAAATTCTGGTTAGACTTTTTGTATCTGACTCAAGGCCTGGAATATAGCAAAAACGTGTAAAAATTTATTAAATTAATGTTATACCAAGTGATTGTGCTTACCATTTTTGCTTTCCTCATTAACATGTGAACTTGAGTCCCAGATAACTTAGAAAGTAGTAATAGTCAAATAAGTAAGAATAGTAAATTATCAATATAGAATGCTATCATATTTCTTAATCTGTATTCAACATCCTTTTTTCCTTTAGGAGATTTTAGTGTGTGGCCATTCTTTGGAAGTAAATATAACTACAAACCTGGACTTCTTCTTAAGTGTGGCTCAAGTTCAACTCTTACATCAGTTGATAGTAGCAAATATGACTGGACTGGAACCATCAAACAAAGCCACAGAGGTAACTATTACCTGATTCTGATTAAACTTTCACAGCATTTATGCCAACTTTACAATAGGAAAACTATAATTAATCTAAATGCTTTCTACTAATTACTCTATATTTAATTTTATCCAAAATATAGTAATAAAGCATCTTGGATTGATGTTCTTTATATTTGAAAATTTGTTTAGTCTCTCCTTTTTTTTTTGTCTTTTTCATTTTTATCAGTACCAGGGATCGAACTCACAACTGCCTGCTTGCAAGGCAGGCGATTATGCCGCTGAGCTAAATCCCCAGCCCCTCTCTCCTTTTGTTTATCATATAACTTTATAAAATTGCTATGTCCTAATCTCAGAAGAATCTATTAAAATTATGATTTTATTATCTGTAGAATATCTACAGTGTAATATCAGAAACCTAGTATTGCTTTCATTTACCCAAGTATGTTACAAGGCTTAGGGCTTCTTTTGGAAATAAACTTTGGAAAAGTACTATAATATCTTCAATAAATAACTTGTAAAACATTTGTTTCCCATGTACAATGAAGAATGGACACAATCATAAAAGTTGATTGCCTGCATAGAAATTTAATTTTTGCCCAGTATTTATTGGAAGCCTATATTATAACCACAAATTGTGTCAGCTTAAAACAAAGAATGCCACTTGTTAGATGCTTCTCATGATATGCCATCTTTATTTTTTGTTTCTATCCATCTTTTATCATATGGGTACTTAGGGTATATTTTCGGTAAGAATCCAGGTTAAGAAACTGTTTATCTGTGAAAAAAATTGTTATAAATCATTTGGAGTATATCCAAATGATTTTTTTATTTATTTTTGCTATAAGTTATATAGAAGGCTCCAAACTGTTTACTAAGGATGTAAGGAAGGAGATATTCACTCGAGAGCTACTTACTGTGAGGCAGTATGATCAACTTTGTTCAATAAGTTAACCCACATACCTTCAAATATACCAAAATAACCTTGTGAGGTGAATATGAACTTCGGGCCATTTTCTACAGGAGACTTCGGAGCCTTAGAAAGGATAGACAATTTGCTTGTAATCATCACACATGCGTATTTTAAAAGTGATGCATCTGAGAGTTCAATTTAGATCTTTCAACTCAGTTCTCTTCCCATTCTGCCATAGATCATGGATTATCTCAGTCATCTTTATTCTTCAAAGGTTTCAATATGATGAAGCTTTGAACTTTTGTAAATGGAGATTCTGTAACTTGCTCATCTTTTATTCTCCAAAATATTAACTTTTTAAAAATATGCTTTACACAGTCAAAAAACATGCTTTATTCAGTCAGAAATATGGTTTATAGAGTATAAAAATCATATGATAGGAAAACAAGATTTTAAAGTAATCCTGCATATATGTTCATGAATTCTGTGAGTCAGTTTGGTTAGAAAAGAATGTTTTAGATTCCTGTGTTATTTGTGCCAATTTTATGAATATTATATATGAAAGAAATGTAATTCAAAGATTAATGATTTGTTTTAGAACTTCATACAATTTAAAAAATTGGTTAACTATGTAGCTACATATTTCTGTTGCCTATTAGAGGTTCAATTTAAATAAATAGAGAATATTCTGAGTTAGATTAATAATTGTTATTTCATGAACATTGAGTCATTTCTCACAGTTCTATAAACTAACTCTTTTTTTTTCTGCTTCTAAATTGCATTTGTGGCTCTTTATTCCTTCTTAACAATCATGAAAAACATGGACTCTATTATACTTTAAAATTTTAAGGCTTATGTTACATGTAGTTATTCTGATTGAGCAGTGCAGGCTGTAATGAGACAGAATAAATTTGCTGCTGTCTCTAAACCTGGTGAGATATGTCTGTGAGCATTTCAGAAATTGAGAAAAGATTTTCTAGAAATGAAAGTATATGATTCCATTCATTATTACTAGAACTTACATTTGATAGTCTAAGAATGAAAAGACATTTTAGTTACATAGAATATTCTGTAACAAGTCATGGTCATTTTAAAAAGAATAGTTGATTATCTTTAAAACAATTACGTTAAGCCAGGTATGGTGGCATACACCTGTAATCGCAGCACTTAGGAAGTTGAGGCAGGAGGATTGCTATAAAGATTGAGGCTAACCTGGGCTTCATGGTGAGTTCAAGAACAGCCTCTACTAAATGGTAAAAAACTACCTCAAAAAAAAGAAAAGAACCTAAAAAATGTCAAATATTAACAGATCTATATGATACAAATCAAGTAGTGCCACCATTACTGTTTTTTCTTATCAGTACTGGGGATTGAACTCACACTGCATGCTTTCAAGGCAGGCACTTATGCCGCTGAGCTAAATCCCCAGCCCCTGCATTACTGTTTTTCTACCAAAGCTTGTGCCACAGCCTTCACTATGTGTAAGATGCAGCAGCCTGTCCTTAAATATACTATATAAAAAGAGATGCTGTGTTAATCTAAAATAATAACTATATTACTGCGATTTTTAACAATTCTTAACACAGTTGGCTGAGTTATTCGCAAAGTGGAGAAAGAGATACATGATTGTAACAATTATGTATCTTTGTATTATTAGAACTCTAAAGAATCCTCTTAGTGAATTATAGGTGAGTAAATATCCTAACTGTACTCAGTCTACCATTAGACACTGCACTAATGCAGTAAGCTATGCAGCATGTTTCAGTAAAAAGGTGTCACATATATTCATGTATTACTATTTTTAGAGTGTTAATATTTTTGGGCAATCATTTGGCAAGGTTTAACTTGTAAGACTAAGTTTAAAATTATTTAGGAATGTGATAGGTGTTCAGTAGAAAAAATATATCTATACTGTAAACAAAGGGAAGAAAAATGCACATCTTTAAAAGTAGATGTAAAGGGCCAGGAATATAGTTCAGTGGCACAGCATCTGCTTGGCAAGTGTGAGGTACTGAGTTTGGTTCTCAGTACCAAAAAAAGAGAAACAGATGTGAAAATAATTAGGTCACCTAAGGATTTTTTCTCCAACAAATATTTCAGGTATTTGGTCCTAAATTTATTTAAATGAAGAACTGATACTTGGAAGTTCATAGCTAAAAAGAACCTCTTCTGAGTTATAAAATGACCTGGTAATGATTTAGGCAAATTGTGTCCCGTGCTAAACAAAGTGTTTCCAGTGTTTTTGGTCTGAAAAATTTGAACTAGGAGAAGTAAGGCTGCTGGGCCAAGGGCCTTGATTTCAACTTCTTGGTCTTCACTGTCCCAGCATTGTTGCTTTCATGATTTTGGGCTACCAGCATATGTGTATATAGCTTCTTCCTTTTAATCTTATCTTATTTCACTATGCATCATGTGGCAGTCTAAGAAACTATATCAGAGAAATAAACATTTAATATTTAAGAAGCCAAAATGCATTTCAGAGTATAAATTGCATTTTCGTATGTAGCTGATTTCCAGAGTTCACAGTCCCATTCTATGGTCAAATCTCCATAAATACACTGGGTCTACAGGATTCATACAACAGCCACATTATTTAAGATTTTTAGCTCCTGGTTCCCTCCATTTATGTGAGGTACGAGTGAGTTTCCTAGACAGCTTTACAGTGAAGGCCAGTTGTACAGTTCTAATTTTATTACCAAATAGAGCTCTAGTGCTCAGCCTTGATTTCTTTCCCCCAGTGTGTGGTTAGCAGGGCTGTGGTGATTAACCCCGTAGGTTTAGCCTTTCAAAAGATTTTACTGAATGGTCCTGATCCCACAAAAGCCCAGTTATTTGAATCTTGTGTTAGTAGTACAATCAAAAGATGCAATACAAATTAGTAGGGAAGATTGTTTAATTACATCTGCCACTGTATTTCAGGAAGCTGTTGTAAATAAATAGAATTAAAGAATTTTAATCCATGAAATATTTTAGGGAAAAATAATGAAGATCATCTTTATACAAGAAAAGGAAACTATAAAAATCATTGTAAATGTTCCTAGACCTATCGATATTAGGCATTCTAAGGAATAATTGAAAACAAAATTCCCTGACAGTTTATTTCAATTACAATCACAAAAGTAACATCATAAAGAAATATAATTTGTTGTACTTTTAAAGTAGTAGAGAAATTTAGACTGAAATATGAAAGATATGTAGTCTCTCTGTAATCTATAAAATCATGAAGATTATAGCTAACATGTTAAAACCTGTTAACATGAAATGATTAGCTTATTTTTATATGAATTTTAATATCGTGTATTATTTAATGAAATACATAAAATTAACTTCAGCCCCCCCCACTCCATCCTGCAATAGCTTGTACCTCTACAAGTGGTTTCTTTTGCTATTTCTAGCCATGTTTCTGAAAAACCTGATGTGCTGTCACTTGATGTGCTGTAGCCCTATTCATGTACCATTTATTATAGGTGTGGTTGAAACTCTTGCACTTACCTTCATACCTCCACCTTACCAATATTTTTATACTTTGTGAGTCAAAATGTATTGTTTTCATTATAGCAACTTCGTAAATAAACTCGTTTAGTGAAATGACAACCTATGATTGTGTTTCCAATTTACCTATTTTTATTTTTGAAATTATTTATTGCAACATTTTTTATTTTCTCATTATTTAAAACTCTGGGGCATAGGGGATTTTTTTTCTTTCCATCTTTTACTGTATCCCACCTGCACCTCTGGTACTATATAATGTTTAGTGGTTTAAAGTTTTACACTTTGAAACTTGTGTAATGCCCATAATCCTATGTTTCCGAAGGTTCTTGTTCTACCTTCTCCATTTCAAACAATTCATTTTCTAGAACCTGCTGCATCCTTAGTATAAAAAGTGCCAAATGAGACAAGATTGTGGTTTTTGAGATTGATATAAAGTGTTGGAGAGAATTTAAAATATGAAGAAAGCAATAGGTTCTATGAATATAAATTAGTAAATTTGCAAATATTTTTGTTCTTCCATTCGAAAATACAGATATTTTAAGTTACTGTATGAGTACAATATAGAATATATAAATATCGAAGTAGCTTACATGCATAGCTAATATAGTTTACTTGGATGCTTTTAAACTTTATTATAAAATAAATTATAACACAGACCTGTTTTGCTGTGAATGACGCTTGAGTGTAAGCATAGAAATTGGTGGTAGAGGCAAAAGTTGTTTTGGTGATATTTTAGATTGGAATTACTTTTAAGTAATTCCAATCTAAAGGTAAAATTTGAATCTGAAGGTAAAAATTTTTGTAGATTTCTTTACTCATCCTATGGATTGCTAGGAATACAGGGAAATAGGACTTTGAAGGTAAAGAGGAGGGAAAGAGATTTTTAACTATGTGAGGGTATAGTAACTGATGTTTTATGGGATTACAATTTTGAAAAGACAAATACAGACATTGTTTACTCTGAAAATACATGTGGTTAGGGATAGGATTCATACGTGGAAAATAAAATTGGCATGAGGGTGCATATTGATATCCAAATGTGTTTTGGTGCTTTCTATCTTGAGATAGGCATGAATGGAAAAAGCCAGATGAAAAGTTGTATGATGCTGTAGTTATGAAAGGAGATGGGAGTTTTGGACAATGTACATGTAGTAACCTCTCTTTGGTGTTGCTATGCTGGGTATTTGTTTCTCTTTAAAGGCACCTATGAATAGACCACTTGTAATCAGACAATAAACACAACTCCAATAAAATATGGGTTCCAGTAGACCCTTAAATAAATAAGAAGGGCGGTGATGGAATACTTTGAGTTTCTTAAAATCTAGACCTGAGAAGGATAAAAAGTATTTAACTACTTTTTCTCACTAAGTGTCTTGGTTACTTTTCTTTCATTGCTGAGATCAAATACCTGATAACTAAAATTAAAGAGAGAAAGGTTTATTTAGCTCATAGTTTGTGGAGGTTTCAGTCCAGCTGGCTCAGCTGGCTCTAAGGCAGAGTGGCACAAAGCAGAGGGTAATAGTGGCAGAAGCAGCAAAAGTAACGGCCACACCCACTTGAGTGTAACACTCACACCCATAATCCATACATTGTACCATGAATCATTCACAAACTCTAGAAGCCTGCCCCCATGACTGCATAAGGCTTTGGCAGGGACATTCAGACACCAAGTATGACATAATGGAAAGATTTTTGGGGTACATTGAACTCTACACATATCAGAGTTTTTAATAAGCCTTGTAAGTATTAAAAATTATAGAATGTTCTCATGAAAAACAGACTGTGCTCAGACAGAAACCTAGTTTCCTCAAGGAGGAGGCAAAACATGAAGTCAAAAGTTTAAAATTTTCAGCTAGTGATCCTTATCACTTACCAATTTCTGAGCTAGAAATCCAAAGTTTCTAAGTTTCTATTAAACTATCTAACCTACCCTTAGTCAGAAGTATTCATTGACTGTTGACCATGTACTGTTTTCCAGCTATCCAGTAACAGAGGTGTGAAAAATACACTATGGCACCTGCCCTCTAGAACTTTATAATTTCGGTTATAAAACATAGACAGTTGAAATAACAACAAATAAAGCAGAGCAGAATTTGAAACATATTGTGTACAGATACAAACTCCCTTTGATGAATGTGATCATTATGTATCTCTAAACTATACCAGTAAAATTAAATTTTAAAAATATTAAATATCTCTATGGAAAATTATTTTTATAAGAATCTAAGGAAGCAAGCAAACATGTTAGGCAAAATTATGAATGATTCATGTTCATAGGGAAGTTGGAACTGCCTAGGTGGATAAGAGTAGTCTGTTTTCTCAATAAATGTTGACATTCTCCTGTGTGTCAAGTATAGTGTTACAGGCATCAGGCTGACCACCTTAAACAAAGGAGGTAAAATGTGCATTTTCATTTTTAATCATTTAATAGGAAGATAGATGAATAATTGGTGCTAAATCAAAGTATGTATAAAATTACTTGTTTATGCAAAGATTGCATAGCTTTAAATGCTATAATTTATTTAATCTTTCAAGCCTAAATAAACCTCAATAAAAGTAGGGATACTGATTGGTAAGGAAGAAAAGCAATAAAAAGAAATAAAAATTGGCATTAATGAAAAGTAGACACAGCAGGGAGAAATAGTGTAAACAAAAACATCAATATTTGTAAACAAGCCAGACATGGTTGGCGCATGCCTATAATCCTAGCACTCAGGGAGCTGAGGCAGGAGGATCATTGCAAGTTAGAGACCAGCCTGGGCTACAAAGTAAACTCAAGGCCAGCTTGAACTGCATAGCAAGACCTTGTCTCAAAATACATATTTTTAGATATTAAAAATATGTTTGGTGGGATAGTGAAAAAGTCTTTTTTTCTAGGGTAAAGGAATTGTGTTAGGAAACAAAACTTAAAGTCTTGATAGGATGGGAGAACATAGCAGAAGTGGTATGTTAGTGACATTTGTTATGCTTAGTCTCCTGTGGCAGAAGCTTGAAATAGCATGCAAGAAGGTGGTATATGTGTATTACAAGAGAGGAAAAAAACCAATAAATGAATGTCTTTGAAGAATATAGATGCAGAAATCCTCAAAATATGCTAACAGATTAAATCCAACAGCATATGAAAATAATTTTACACCATGACTCAGTAAGGTATACCTAAGAGTACAATTACCTCAGTAGAATCATACACAAAAACTATATGATTATTTCAATAAGAAAAAAAAGGATTTAACCAAATCTAACACGCTTTCATTAAAAATCAAAAAACCCTAAACAAACCAGAAATAGAGGAAGAGAATTTCTTAAACTAGATAAATGCTATCTAGGAGAACTCCACTTAATGAGAAAATACGGAATGCTCCCTACTTTTAGTAAAGAACAAAGTAGTAAAAGAACAAGGCAGGGATGTCTTCTGCTGTCATACCTGTGCAGCACTGCTGGACTTTCTAGCCAGAGCAAATAAGGAACAGCGTTAAATGAACTCATGAATACATGCATACACTCCAGATCAGAAAGAAAAAGTGTAACTATCTCTGTTGAGATGACATCATAGGTAGAAAACTCTTAAGAAATACATTTTAAAACTTAGATCTCAAGAGTTTAACATCATTGCTGAATTCAAGAGTATATGGAAATCAATTATATTTGCATGTACTTTCATAGAGCAATTAAAATATTTAACCAAACACTTCTGGTTTTAATGATATCAAAATGAATAAAATACTTAGAAATACATTTAACAAATAGTGAAAATTTTACACTTTGAAAATTATAAAATATTGTTTGGAGAATGTTTAAAAGATCTAAGCAACTAGAAAAACCTTTGTGGTTATAAAATTATATTAATATTGTCAACATGTTTCTACTCTTTGACTGATTACCCAAAAAAATATTGCTCAGAATCCCAACTGATTTCTTTGTATAAGTCGATAAGCCGATTCTAAAATCTATAATGAAATCTGAGGCCCAAAATAGACAAAAGTCTTTTTAAAAAGACTTAAAGTCTTATAATTCTTGGTACAAAAACTTAGGACAAAGCAACTCTAATCAAGATCATGGCATAAGGATAGATAGTCAGATAAATGGAACAGAATTTAGAGTTCTGAAAATAACTCACATCTATAGTTTGATAGTAGCAGAAAAAAATCATCTTTTTGGCAAATTATGCTAGGACAACTGGATATTCACCTGAAGAAAAAATGAAAGAATATGCCTAAATTGTACCCTGTAAACTCAAGAGTACAACAATATAAAAAGCTGAAATGATAAAACACTTATAAGAAACTGTAGGCATAAATCTTCATGATCTTGAATAAAGGCAAAGATTTTTTAGATGTAATACCAAAAAAGGAAAACAGGTGGGTGGGTGGGTGGATGGATGGATGAATGTAATTTCATAAAAATTTAAAACTTTTGTGTTTTAAACTTACAAATCATGAATGGATAAATAGCATTATGATATGTAAAAAAGTCTTAATAATAAAAGAACCCATTTTCAAAATTGATATAAAAGATCCGAATATAGTATTTCTCCAAAAATGGTGTAGATAGGAATAATAACCACATGGCATGTTATTCAATATCATTAGCCACTTTAGATATGCAAATGAAATCCACAAGGAAAGCCCACACCCCCTAGGATGGCTATAAGCAATAAATCAAATAAAAGAAGTTTAGAAAGTATGGGGAGAAATTAGACCTTACTCTAAACCAGAATCTTTATCTGTATAGCCTACTGTTACAGTGACATTTAGGCACCTTTACAGAATTCCAAAGGTTCAGTAGATTAGAGACTGAAAACTGTTGCCCCAAAAGTATCTTCTCTGAAAAGATTGTTACTATTATGTTCTTTTTAAAAAGAATTAACTGTCATGTTTTAGGTTATATAGCTCTTCAATTGACATCTAGAGTAAATGACATGTGGAATTCCTTATTGAGAACAGATATGTACACTTAAAAAAACCAGATCCAAAATTGATCTGAAAGCTTTAAAACAAGTGTATTGTCAAAATAAAGATTGTAACATTTCACATAATAATTGTTTTAGCCTCAGGTCACAAACCCCAACAAAGACAGAAATTTCTTTCTTGTGTAACAGTCTTTTATTAAATATCTACAACTTGTGTGATGGCTCTACATCCAGAGACTTAGTCTACTTTCCTCTTGCTGCTTTGTCATTTCTAAGGTGTCTCCCTGGCTTGGTCCAAGATAACATGTCTTTGTTCTGATCTGCAGGTGAGAGAAAGAGAAAATAAAATGGGAAGTACTGAACTCACACTCTCATAAGAAGAAAGACTGAAGTTTTATAAACATCGTTTATATTCACATTCTATTGATCAGGCCTTATGCATGTGGTCACACACAGCTGCAAGTGAGAACAGGCAATGTAGTGTTTTGACATGTACCCTACTAAACATTATTTTACTGTGAAAGAAAGGGATAATGGATATTAGGACATAACGACCTGCCTTGACCACTGAGACTTCAGGATTCTCTGGTTGACAAAGATAGGTTATTTCTTAGAAAATGGTTTTACTTCTTTCACAGTACTTTAAAAATCGCGTCTGAGGTTTTGGATTATAAAATATTCCAGAAATAATGTTATCTTGCAAATTGTTCAATGCTGCTATAGAGATAGATACTATATTTGCCCATCATTTCTTCCTGTCTTCATCTGATAGTAGATCTCATTTTCCTTTTGATAAATAACATTCTTCAATTGCATGTGACTTTGATGGGATTTTCCATTTTAAGCTAGCCAGTCATACTTCTTCTTCCAAATCTGGTTATTGGTTTTTATGGTTATAGGCCTCAGACAAGAGCTAGTGCTTCGTACGAAGACAGAGAGGAATGAACTATCTTTCCTGTGGATAAATCTGTTCAGATGTCATAATACTGAAATTTATATTGACCATGCCCTGATCCTCTCCTATACTTATTATCACTTGAAGAAAACTGAATTTTAGAAAAGAGATGAATTCACAGTATAAGCAAAACTGAGATGGAGAGTCTTTGACATCTTCATTCAGTGACATATACTAGAAGATTCCTGGAACTCTGCTTTCTTCATGGAATGACAGTAAGAGTGGCCATTTGTGACCCATCTGAGAGAAAAGCAACATAGTGCGGATAACAAAATGGATAAATAAAATGACACTGAGATATAGATGTATATTTGAGCTACTGCATCATCCAACACTTTTAGGTTATGTAAGAAAATGATTGGTTACATTGTATATACTACATAAGGTCAAATACAAGGCTGTTCTGAGTGTGAGGAGATAGATCCATGGGAAAGCACAGGGTAAAATTGTTATAAATTCTTGTTTTATGAATTAAATGGATTTCTCATTCATCAGAATTCCTATTTCTGTTCCTAAAAACAAAATGACAAGATATATGTAACATTTACTTCCAAAGAACTTTTGAAAAATTAATGATTATATATTTGACGGAGTAGGTTTTATGCATATTGTGTAGTGCTCTGAATAGTAAGCTAAAATGTTCTATTTAATCACTAGGTTATAGAGAGGAGTTGAAGTTTGTTATGCTAGAGAATGACTTAGGTCTGATTTGAAGCTCAGATCCTTGTTGGACTAAACATCACACAATTGATAGTAGTAATCTGTAAACGTGGCATTTAATGAACTGTGAATATCATAGTTGCATTGTCCCCTTCAAAATGTGAGGACATACTAATTTTTTTCAGTAAGGAATTAACAGTTATCTGTTCAAGTAGTAACACCCATTATTTCCAAAAGGTACAATTATTCTATCATACATTCTTAAACAATGAATATACTTTTAAAATGGATTAAAGTGAAGGATAAAAGGGCTAGAATTGCCCTTGGTGTGTTCATTTGGCTGCAGTAATTGTTATCCTAAATAGCAAGTAATCATCTTATTATGTCTACTTACAGAGGTGGTATGTGTAAGGAATAACACATGCTTATTCTCAAATCAGTGTTTTAGAGTAAATAAAACTTTCATAGCAAAACCTAAACCATGTTTTTAGGGACAAATAATAGAACCACATCTTTGGAGATCTAATGTGGGAGTCCTTTTGATGTTCACACTATATATATCACAGGAAAGAATGAAGCCAACTTACAACACTAATTGAGCTTCACTTCCCTTGCCTGCTCTCCTTCCTCCTCCTCTACTTAACCACTTGGTTTTAGGTACTTCCTTACCTCCCCCTTCTTTTTAGTTCCCACAATTGATGCACTTGGTCACCTGTCCCATGTGTGCTTGGTACCTATTACTACACTGCCTTTGATAAATAAAAATTATGTACTTTAAGGAAAATTTCATTTTTAATTATTTTAGCCATCACAAAAATTTACAGTACTTAGTCCATGTTCTTTTACTATTTCAAAGTAATGAATATTTCACCCAGTATAAGGATTCTAAGTCATTAGGTTTTCTCCTGGTTTTTTTTTTAATTATATTTGGCTTCTTTATATAAAGAACTAAATGAAGTGTCGTAGTCAACTGTCTCTGAATCATAATAAGAACATTTTTTTAAAAAGTTATTTTCCCACTAGTCAAAGCAAGTAAAACCTCTGTCTTTCAGTTTCCTTTCTACACTCAGCCAGACTGTCTTCTCAGGGCTATTGCTGGCCCTGTCCATCGCCAGGCCTCTGCCATTCACTCCCTTGTAGTTATCTTTTTTCCTACCCATGCTAAGGTCTAAGTCTTCTCTCTGACCCTGAGTTCTAGTCTTTTGATAATTGTTTCTTTCTCATCTACTTTTTATCCAATTTCCAATGGTGTCTTCTTAATACTAGTTTTATGATTCAGAATTAGTTGTATATACTACTTTGAAGGCAATAAGATTCACTAAGATGCCCATTCTGGTTTGACTATTGTCTCCTTTGGAAGTCCTGTAATGTTTACAATGCCTCAGTTTTATTGGTCTTGTTCTCTACTGTTTTGTCCAACTTTATAATATCTAATGAGATAGACAATTCTTTTTAAGGAAACAAGAGACATCGTTGATAACCATTGTTGATAAACTTGTACTCTGTTTTACATCATGTGCTATGTCTATCCTTGGTTGCTCTCTCTTTTTTTTTTTTTTTTTTTTTTTTTTTTTTTTGTCTTTTTCCTTTTTTATCGGTACCGGGGATCGAACTCACGACTGTCTGCTTGCAAGGCAGGCACTTATGCCGCTGGGCTAAATCCCCAGCCCCTTATGTCTATCCTTGGTTTTGACTGACAGCTTTGTTTTGCCATATTTGACTTTATTCTCTCCCCCCCAAAAAAGTAATAAGAACTAAGGAGTAATAAAACCCAAAATGTGTAAATTTTGTTGTAAAAAAGAGAGGGAAAAAAAAGAGCTCTAAAGGATACAACTGCAAGTGTGTTTAGGGGTGTTAAATAGCTGACCATATTAATGTTTTTGGTTGGATCATTGAACACAACTGTTTGCAGTCTCACTGTTTGTCTACTTTGTATTCTTTGATACTGTGATTTGAGCAACTATTTCTAAGATGATAATATGTAATCTATTAACTGGTGATTTCTTACTGTTTTTTTGTTTTTTGTTTTTTTACTTCTGTATTACTTGTACCCTTACACCGCTTTGTTTTGTTTTGTGTTTTTCTCTTTTTCCTTTTAAATAAAATTTAAAAAAAAAAAACAGAATTAGTTGTATATAAAGAAGGCCATAGGAAAATAGGTATAGCTAATTCATTATCCTTTCCAAATAAAAATGTGATAAATGACCTGACCAACAGAAAAACAAAACAAAACTGAAGGCCTATGGTTTGCTTTTGTTTCCTCTCTGAAAGTTTGTACTTTTTTAACAAGCAAATTTCTGGGCTTGTCTTACTTACATGAATGACTCAGGTTTAAAAATATTAACATCAGAGCCATGGGAATGTATATGATTCTCATCTAAGATTTCATACGTTTTGAGATTGCTTATTTCTAAAAATTTGGCTCTTCCTCAAAGGCTTTCTGCAGCAAATCATTAAAAATCCTCCCTGAGTGTAGAGGCATATAAAATAAACACCACGACCTAAACCCAGTAATCTTCCTCTACGGTTTTTAAGATTCTTAGACTTCAAGAAATGTGCCATAGATGGCCCCCTCCCATTCTTTTTTAAAGATTTGACCATTTAGTACTATATCTTGGGAAGATACAAAAGTACACAGAAGAAAAGATACAATTTGATGATAGTATCATTTGCACAACTGTCTAAATTTGTATTTATAAATTACACTTCAATAAACTTAGCTTTTAAGAGCTATTGGAACACTTCCTAGACAACTTAAGGAGACACAAAAGCAAACTGGCAACAGTAATTTCCATTAATGTCAATGTGTCTGTTACTACGTAGCTATTTGCAATCTGTAATACCAGCTATTTATTAGGCATTCACCCTGTGAGACAATGGTTTAAGTGTTTTATGCACTTTGACCACTTTATATAATTACTGAGTTTGGGACTAGTCTTCAGATTATGCAGATGTGAAAACTTTGTTTTAAGAAAGTTCCATGACTGGTTCAAGGCACATGACTAATGAGTATCTGTGTGCATGTGTGTGTGTGTGTGTGTGTGTGTGTGTGTGTGTGTGTCTCTGTCTGTCTGTCTGTCTGTGAATCTGTATCTGTCTGTCTTTCTCTCATCTGCATGCACCATTGACAACATAATTAGAAGTGCTGTTGGAGAGAATTCACTAATTTAAGTGTGTTGGCTTTTACAAGGGAGTTAAAAATTGGAAGATCACAAATTAGTAAGTCCTTAGACTTGTATCCTTTCTTTCTTTCTTTCTTTCTTTTCTTTCTCTCTTACTTTGTGAGGGTTTTTTTGTTCTGTTTTGAGATGGAGTCTTACATTGCCCACATTAGGCTTAATCCATCCTCCCAAGTAACTGGGACTATAGGCACTCACCAGCCAACCCAGTTTGCATTTCTTCTTGAACTAGCAAGTTCACTGTATCATTTTGTATCCACATAAAAATAGTAGTTTGGATTATTATCCTTTTAAGAGTTAAAGGGAAGTTTTGTTTTTTAGTTTTATGTTTAAGTAATGGAAAGACAGCATGTTAAAATGTCAGTGAAAAGACTCAGCTAACAGAGCATAAATATGATTGAAATACATGATATACATTTGTACCCCCCCAAAAAAGGTGAAACAAATATGATGGAACAATGAGAATGATACAGGAAAATGATTAAAGTATGTTATGTCCATGCATAAACAAACAAGTATACGGAGATGATGAAATATATGAGGATGAGCTGGAAAATGATAATATAACATTCTTAAAACAATGATAAAATAATATCCTCCTAAAAAGGCAATGGGGTTGACATTAAGGTGTAGAATACTTAGAATATAACAGAAGGAAAGAAAGATGATCTGTTCATAGATAATACATATATATGTAAGTTTGAGGAATCGCAAAGATGTCTATTGGTGGTGTTTTGTTTTGTTTTTTTTGAACTGTGAAATAGGATATAAATTTATCTATGAAGGAATGGTAAGAGTAAAGTTTGAGATATAGAGGTAGGAACCTGCTAATCGTACTTTAACTTTCTACTTGGAAAATATAAATAAGAATCTATAGAGATGCATACAGTAATGGTAAAATGTAAATATTTTTAAAAATTGAAGTTAGAGAAATAAACATGCAACCTAAATTCCGCATATAGGGCCTGAACTTCAGATATTGTCCTAAACTTCAGGGGCTGAGGATTTAGCTCAGCGGCATAAGCACCTGCCTTGCAAGTGTGTGATCATGAGTTCAATCCCTGGTACAGATAAAAAAGAAAAAGACATTAAAAAATAGAAATTCAATTTTTAATTAATTACTTGAAGGTTTTACTGATTTTTAGAATGTATAGATCTTTTTAAATATCTTTCGCTTTTATCGTGGCTTTGAATTTACACAGAAGTCGTGGAAACAATACAAACAGTTCCCTTACATCCTGCACCGTTTCACTTCTTATTAATATCTTACTTTTTTTGTTTTTTTGGTTTTTTTTTTTTTTTTTTTTTTTTCTTTTTCGTTTATAGGGGCTAGGGATTTATTTCAGCGGCATAAGCACCTGCCTTGCAAGCAGGCAGTCGTGAATTCGATCTCTGGTACCGATAAAAACGAGTGTCTTACATTTTGATAACATTTGTCATAGCTAATGAACCAATTTTCATACATTATTATTTAATAAAGTTCGTGTTTTATTTGGATTGCCTCAGTTTTTACTAAAGACAATCTACTGATGCTCCCTTCCTCTTCCAAGGTCCCATCCAGATTACCACATTACACTGTATTTGATTGTTCTATCTTGATTGGCTTCTTTAGATTCTGATGGTTTCTCATACTTACTCTCTTGGATAAACTTCACAGTTTTAAGAAATGAGCAGTACTGATTAAGTATTTTGTAAAATGCTCTTTAATTTGGATTTGTCTGATATTGAAGGAAGGGTACCTGCAATAAATTATGTAGAATTCATCTGTTTAGATTTGCATGCTATCCTTCCATTTGAATATATTGTTTTCTTAAAAGATGTCATTAACTCTCAAATAATTTTAAAAATCAATTAGTAGCATTGAGTGTAGTTGTAATTAGTCCCTGAGTTTGCAGACATTTTTGAGTCTTTAGCCTTAGCTTCTTCATTGGCAGAAAGAGAAATTTGGTCTATGTTAACCTTTCCCTGTTTTTGATGACCTGAGGGAAAGCCTGAGACTGACCTCCAGTGGTTATTCATGATGTGATTCAAGAAGTAAACACCTGTTTACTACAGGATGAGTTATAACAACCAGGGAGTTACTATCTCTTAGGGTCATTTGTTGGCACTGAATGAAAAGTCTTAAGTAGGAATAGTGGACTTAAAAGTGTCGCTTTCTTCTGCTCTTCTGAAATTGGAGCCATTGGAGTCTAACCTCTCTTCTTTACCCTGTGGAAAATGCTGATTGTGGGTATGATAATTTTATCAGTATTTCTTCTGTTTAAATTATTTTCTCAATATTTTAAAAAGTGATTGATTTTAGTGTTCCTAAATTATTTTTGGACTTACCCTCTCCTCTTCTATTTTTTCCTCTAGCATATCTCTCTTCATAGAGCCATGTTCACATAAAAACTAAGGAATTTTTCTCTAAATATTCTCAGAAGATAGTTAAGAGCCTTTGGGATTTGTGCATATTGTACCAGGAATAACTCCTTCAGTATCCTTTCAGCCTTCTCCAGGAGGCTGATGTGGGTTTTCTAAGCTCTGCACTTAGTCCTCTTTAAAACAAATGCAAATTACAAATGCATAATTATGCTCAGGGCTTTGAAACTGGCTTGTGCACATAAGAGCCTTTAAAGCTGAATCTTCTTTAATGTTATAATAAATCTTCCTCAACCATCTTGAGTAAAAACTAACATTATGACTGTATTAGTGTTTCATTGACGCTCTAACAACTTAGCACAAACTTGGTGGCTTAGAACAACATAAGTGTACTGTTTTTCAGCTCAGACATGTGGAACAGATGTCTCACAGGGGTAAAATGAAGATGGCCAGAGGGATATGTTTATGTCTAGAGACCCTTTGGGAGGAATCCATTTCCTTGCCTTTTTAATTCCTGTAGATCTCCAGCACTCCATGATCCATGGTACCTTCTCCATCTTCAGGGCCAGAAATGGCCAGTCATACTCTTCTCACATTGTATCTCTCTTTTACCATAGCAAGGAACTTTTTAGCTTTGAAGGCCTTGTTTATAATCTCAACATCTCAGGACCACAAAGAACTTTTATTTAAATGAGCATATATACTAGTAGTTTTCATATTAAATGCTTTAAATTATTAACATATTGAAAAGAGTACAAATCATTTATATGTAAAAATGAGTTTTCATGAAAATTAGCTGTTTTCTAAAGTAAGAATAATCATTGACATTATCCTAAATTTTTATAAATCACTTTAATGCAGGGCTTAATAGAATAGTTAGATTTCTACATTTGTTTTTGTATTTAGCTGGTTGCAGTATATTATTTTGGCTTAAGTATATACAGAAAATATATTCTCATCACACAGATATGAAATTAGAAGAGTATTTTAATATCCTTTAAGATAATTATGGGTCATTTTCTTTTTTATGGAAGAATATATTTATTGAAAGAAAGCTTCTGTCCATCTGAGAAAGACAGAAGGGGTTCTGTGTCAATTGCTCCATTTTCTTTTATAATGCAATAAACGTTGAAGGTGGTGGTACCTTTTTAAAATCTGCTTTGACTTTATATTTTAAGATAAGCTTTATTGAGATGTAATCCACTTAGCGTACTGTTCACACATTGAAAATACTCAGGTCTATGAAAGTACCCGTCTCTTAACTATATTTGTAGTTCTGCAGTCGTCAACACAGTCAATTTTACATTTTCATCACCATAATCAACTGAAGAACTTGTTCAGCCCCCAAAGAAAATCTGTATTTATTGTCCATTACCTCTAAATTCACATCCCCTCCATGCCTAGGCAGTGGTTGTACTGTTTTCCTTCAGGCCATTGTTATACTGTTTTCATCTATTTGCTTATTCTGAAGAGTCCATGTAAGTAGAATCATACAATATGGGATCTTCATGACAAGCTTCCTTCACATAGTGTATCATTCCCCTATGATTCAGCCTATATTGCTATTTTATTTTATTTATTCATTAAATAATACTTTATAGATATATGTCATTGCTTTTTTCTACCTGATAAATCTCTGAGGGTTTTCTACTTTGGGACTATTAAGAGTAGTGCTTCTGTGAACATTCATGTGAATGTTTTTGTATGGGCATGTGTTCATTTATTTTTGACATACAAAGGATTAGAATTACTGGATTATATGATAAATTTTATAATGAGTTTCTTAATGTTAGTTTCAGTTTGGAATTTGAAATCATGACACTGAGCTTTTCTTATTTTGTTACAGTTCATTGATTTGTCCTTTCAAAATTGACACTTTTTGCTACACAATATTAAAATTAACAGTTGTTAGTATTACCACTAACTTCATCAGTAAAGTCTGAATTATTGAAAAATCATGTCAGCTTCATAGTGACAAATACAGGTGTTCACAAATGCTTATTTTATCTTGAAAGCTTAAATGTTATCATTGACAACAAATGCTATATGTTGTTCTTGTTGAAGAAATGCTCTGTTAATTTTAGAGAAAATATTTGTGAAATACTGGTTAACAATAGTCATAGTGCTGTCAGTCACTCTTTCAAACAAAAATGGTTTTCCATAAAGAAGTCAGGTGGTACAGCTTGTAGTTCACTTGCACATCTACTTTGCCTCAAACAACTATGATTCTTTGGTGTGCAGCAAAGTGCTTTACATTTCATCAAACCAAATATTAAATAGATGTTTATTTGAGGGTCAAGATTTTAAAATAAATTTTAGTGATCCAGTAGGAACATTCTTAAACTTGATTTGCTTTTTACTAGAAATGCATGATTTCAAAAGATGCAGCAAGAAATAGTTCCTATTGTTACTACTATCTAGATTGATGATTAAGTCTCATGGTTGCTATTTGTACCATCAATGGAAACATCAATATGTTGAAAAAAGACAGGTGACGTGAATTTAGTTTTGATGTTACATGTCCTCGATGGTGTCTCTGGAACACCAAGGGATCCTTTGCCTATGCTTTGATAAATGTGGCTCTCAAGTACTAAAGTCTGTCCTTGTTTTCCTCCCTCAAAACATACTTTTCTGAAATATGAAGTTAATGAAAAGTGATTTGTCCATTTGAGTGGAAAAAAGAAAATTAGTGTTCTGGAGAATCATGTTTTGATTTATCTTTCCTATTTCAATAGTTATATAGCCTAAAGAAATTTAGAAAATACCTAAAATTCCTCATTTTAAAATGAAGAATCATTGGAAATTGACTTATTTACTTTTATAATATAAATATAAAGCAATAAATTTGCTTATGCTCTAAGCTAGGAACCATTGTTTTTAGAGGCTACTTCACTAGAAAATGTATATGAAATACCATGATGCTTTTGAAAAAGTCCAAAATGTCAGTTTAATTTGTGTCACATTGAATAATTTTCATATTTTAGGCTTCAAAAATGGTTAGAGAAAACTGTTCAACTTGAGAAACTGATTATGAATTATGCTGACATTTTAACATTCTCAAGTTAAATTTCCCAAAGCAGCATCTTGGGAAATAAATTCATACGCACAGCTTTAAGAAATACTGTAAGAATGAGATGAGCCTTTACTTATAAAATCTCGTATGAAATTTAAGTTTAAATGAATTAGTTACGTTCAAGTCTTCAGGTGAACTTTCTACGTAGAATACAATAGGCGTCAGGTTATATGAAGAGATTTCATTAATGGTGGAAATCTGATTTGTTTTTATCAGTGCTTTGTGATTTCATTTTGGCAGAAATGGAACTCTTAGGATGATTTTTGAAGTGCATATTTATATACCTTAAAAATTGTACGAGTTGCATGTTACCAGTACTGATAATAAAAGCAGTAGATAGTCGAAAGATTGGTTTGCGTGTACCAAGTGTGATCTATGTAGTTATGTGCATTAGTTCATTCTCAGATAGCTTGTTAGAAATGATTGATCTCTAGGAACAAATAAACCAAAAGAAAAAGACTCAGAACTTTGAGTGTAATAATTGCTGACATAGATATTTATCATTGGAGTACTTTCTTCATCCCAAAATAGCCTTTTCACCTCTAAGCCATTGTCTAAGTAGTCTGCTTTATTGACAGTAGGGATTGTCTTGTGCATATTTTGTTTTCATGTCAGTTTCTTAGCACAACCTAACTTTAATTTATATTTAACACTAATATAATGGATCAGAAAATTTCTCAACCTTTCTGTGAACTTTAAAACTCTTCTTTCTAGAAGTAATGTTCTCATAGAATAGATTTAGTTGAGTTTGTCCATGAAAAATACAAATGTGATGCCTAAAAATTTTAAGACTCTATCAGAGGACTCAAAATATTAATGATAATGAAGATCATAACAATTTATTGCATACTTATTATTAGCCAAGGTGGTATATATGAGCATTCTTCCGATTTCTTTTATAACCTTCCTAAAATCTAGATACTTGCTATTGGTATTCGGTTTTATCAAAAAAGGGAGCTAAGGCAGAAAAAACTTTGTTTTCTAAGATCATGTAAGTGTTTAGTTTACAGCCATGATTCTAACCTAGATTATCTAAAGATTTCTAAAAACTTTGTTTTTTTCTGCTTTTCCTGGTTTTTTTTTCTTTCTTGATTTCTAATCCTGCTTTGCAGCTTAGTTAACATGTCCTCATATAACTTTCTTCAGCTCTTTAAACTTCATTTTTTTTCATCTTTAAAATGGGAATAAGTGGTAGTTCTTAATATTTGGAGTTTGGTGTGAAGACAAATAAGATAATAAGATGTCCTTGATAAACAGAATAATGATATCTGTGGCAATAATAATTACTTCACATCTGTCTTACTGAATACTTCATTCCCAGCTATGTGACACTTATTATTATGCGCCACTACTCCTGGATATCCATCTAAATGGTTCCCCGCTTTTTTTCTTATTTTAAGCCAATCCAATATATAAACAGCCAGAATAATTATCCTAAAGTTAATTTGGGATCATATTACTCCTTTGTTCAAGTATTATCAGTTCTTTCCCTTTGCCTGCTGATCTGAATAAGGACTCAGCCTGAAATTGAAAGCTCCAGTTAATAGTCTTTCTTGCTTCAACGTTCCTATAGAGAAACCTGTATAGTTTCCATTTTGAATGGGGATAGTTATTTATAAATGTTAGATTAGCAGATCTACAGCTAACATTTAGAGGGTAGACCAGCTCCATGTGTGATGGTCTCACATGTGAATTTTCTTATACAAATGTTGTTAGTCAGGTTGTCAGCCTCCTGCTGCCAGATGGTTCTTCCTGTTTTCTGAATATCTTACTATTCTTGCTATTTATTTAAGTATTTCTATATCTCTTCTTAAGAATCTCTGGCTGTTGTTATCTAGCTTTCAGGCTTACACTTATTTTATCGCTTTGCTTATATTTCTGGAACCCTCCAGCATATCCTTTGTATCCTTTCTCCCCACCTTAAAATAGCTTTACCATTCGTGTCAGTCTATAATAGTTTTTGGTGAAAATCATTTACTATCCTATAACCTTTTCTTTTAAGATAATTTAAAGTCTGATTGATTCATCTTTGAATGTTTCCACAGGTATTTAGCACTGAGTAGTATACCTTATAGGCATTTCTGCAGGGTACAAACCCCACTTGAAATTCTTTGAGCCTAACACTCAACATTGTTTTTTTCTCCTCTTTAGTGGGCTGATTTGCACAGTACTAGACCAGAAATGGTAAACCTACAGCACATGTGTTGTTGTATTTTTCTTTTAAGACAAAAGATATTAATGTAGAGTGTTTTGGTTTTCCTGTGCTAAAACCTCAGTATTGAGGTCTAATTACAGTTTTGGCATTTTGCTATAAAAGTGGGATTTAGGTTTCAGGTTGGCACTTGGTCTTTAAAAGCGTCCTCATCACTGTACTAGGTCTATAATAAGTGATAAATTCACATTATTCATGTTTTCTAAATTAATTTGTCTAAATGGACTGAGAGTTTTTAAGGATAAGTAAAACATTGTTTCCAATATGTTTGCTCATTTATTAACATTCTGATTTATCTGTCTTCTTGGCTATGCCAAAAAAGTGAAAGAGCCAATAAAAACAGCATATTTGTATATCAAGAGTGGTACATGATTCCTTTATGTATCAAGATTCAGCTGTGTTTTGTTGGATGGACTTTTTGGTAGCCTAGAGCATAATGGAAAGATAAAAATGTTTTCGTGTCTTACTATTGTTTGGTAGTTAATTAGTATAGCCATGAAACATCTCAGAATCTGAATGATTAAATATAGAAATATAAAACTAAATTGATGGTTTATTTTAACATTGTTGGCATACTACTAAAAATATGTACTTTTTAAAAAAACCCATATTTAATCTTAAGAAAAATTGTTTTAGTGTGAGGAGGAGATCTCAAGAGCTAGGGTGATTTTATTTATTTATTTATTTATTTATTTGAGGTAGGGTGATTTTAACCTGAGCGATATATGGGGATTTGCACTTGATTACATCGTTAAAAATGGTTCTGCATAGTTTGACCATGTGTAACAGAACTCTATCCTTTCATTATTCGGATTAGATACAAAATTTTTACATTTTGTGATAATAAAAAAATCACTCTACCAAATTTCATATTTTAAAATTGCTAGCCAAAATTGGCAGGAAGTTTTCAGATATATTAACATTGCCTTTGTTGATCTCTGTACATTTGATTCATTTAACATATATTTATTGAACATTTCTATTTCCATGAGGTTGCTAACTAGTTGGAGAATTTTTTAAAAACCAGTTTAATAGGTAATACAAATATGAAGAAAAAGCTGAGGAACAAAGAAAGAGTAGAAGAAAGGCTACGTAAAACCTTGTGATATAACATACACTTTCTATATGCTTTAAATCTCTAATAAATTACTTATAATATGTAATACAGTGTAAATACTCCGTTAGTAATTGCTGTGGAAATACTATAATAATTTTTGGTAAAAATCATTTACTATCCTATGATTCTTATCCTAATTAGAATAAAACTGTACATGTTCAGCCTTTTCCCCTCCAATTTCCTGTCATTGTTTGACTCTATAAATGCAGAAGTAGTGAGTACAGAAGACAGACTGTATATGAAAAGTCATTCATCTAAACCGGTAATCATACATTTCAGTTAAAAATGACTTAGCAATTTTGTTCAAAGCAACTATTTAAAATATTTCCAATTAATATTGGTGGCTATGTGGCAAGAAATTCAAGTTTATGTATACTAATGATAGTACCAGTTGGAATAAGCTTTTAAGAATATATTCAGTCTAGATATATTTAGAATATATTCAGATCTTCTATTTCAGTAGTTATAAATAGATGCCATTTTGCCTAGTAATTTTACTTTTTAGGAATCTATCCTAAATAGTAATTAGAAAGATAGGGTAAAGAATGATGTATAAAATCCTACTGAAATACATTATAAAAGTTAAGTAAATTATATATGTAATATCTATATTTGGTATAGATACTTGTAATTAATTAATGTAACTGAATGTTTTCAGCAAAATGATATTTGACTCATTAAAATAGAATTTAATGGAAGGTTTTCATATTTTTAATAAATTTTATTATGGACTTTCAAGGTTTACAATATGATGTACATAGTAAAATTATTATCATGAAGCAAATTATATACCGTGTCACATAATTACTCCATGTGTACTTATGTGTGATAAGAGCAATTAAATTCTACTTAGTTGACAAAAATCCTAAATACAACATAATTGACTACGGTCTTTAGGTTATACATTCAATCTCTCAACATATTTATCTTCTCAGTTACTTTGTGTTGTTTGACCTGTATCACTGCATTTCCTCCTTCCCTATCTTTATGCTTTTTTTTTTTTTTTTTTTTTTTGTATATTTAAATTTTTCTACCTTTGCGAGCAGGTCTCACTTTACTTCCTGAGCTAGTCTTGAATGCCTGGGTTTAAGCAGCACTCCTGCCTGAGCTTCCCAAGTGAAGACATACCACCATACTTAACCCCCACCCTGCTTTTTTCCATTTTTTAAGATTGCACATATTACCAAGGTCATAATTTTTCTTTCTGTATCTGTCTTATTTCATTTAGCATAAAATCCTCCATAACCAGCCATGTTATAGTAAATGGCAGAATAATAGTCCTTTTATATCACTGACTAATCTTCATATGGTGGGAGTTTTAGAACATAACATTGTAAATTAATGAACAAATTTTAATGCTATAAATTCTGAGAAGTCATAAAAACGAAATAGTCATCTACAAATTTACCATCTGTGAATAATTACTAGAATATCATCATGTGTTTGCTTTTTTGCTTTCCTGCTTTGTCATTTATGTATTTGTTCATATCCATCTTAAGATGTGAGCCATTATCTTTTTATTTGGGTCTAGCTATTGAGTAAGTGTACTGAAGACTACCTCTTTTATAATAAGGAAAAATTAGATAATTAAGGTCAACAAATTAATATGTTCCTTTACAAAATTGTTAATTCCCCAAAACAGAAATGCCTATTTCCATTTTCTGTTTGGAGAACACAAATTACAGTTAATACAATGAAGGAAGCACCATGCTTTTTTTAAACCCACATTTGTCTATATATATGAAATCAAAGAATTTTGAGAATGAGTTCTAGTTATTTAATGGCACACTTTCTGTATACTTGTAAAAGTTCCCCAGAAGAACAATCACAAAAATGTAGAGAAAATCATAGTTCCATAGCTGCTTCTGTCATTCATGTAACAGTACCTGGTATTTCTAAAGCTTTTCATTTGGGATACCCTTTTGCATCCTGAAAACTAAATTAAGTTTCAAATGAAAATACACCACCTACTATACAGTAGTACATGACAGACCCTCCTTTAAGGAAGCACATCTCTTTGCAATGTTTATATTTTTCCCTTGGATCTTCTATTTCAAATTTCTTCTTAGTACTTGTATAACTAAACTTTTAAAAGACAAAGACTTTGTTTAGAGGTATAATGAAGTAAATGGGAGACATTCTTTCTTGAACAAAATGTATGAAATCACTTTGAGTCATTGGGTAGGGCAGTTCAGACAGTGATCCTAAACAAAGGGATTATATGAGATGAACCTTACACTGGCTGCAGTTTGCTGCCTGGAGGGGCTTCAAGACACACAGCCTAGGGACCTGGATAGCCTTGGCATGTCCTTGTATTAAGGAGTCAGAGTTTGAAATTCAGGATGATCACAGGCAGAATTCACAGCCAGCCAGCTTAGCACTGGCCAGAGCATGAATTTGAAAGTCTTACCTGACCTTTCTTTAGACTCAGGTGGGGAAAGGACCAGACTGCATAATCCCTGGAGTCAGCATAGTACTAGGGTACAAAGATAAAAAGGACAGCATACTTCCTGTTGAAAATACAAGACAGAAGACAGCAGCAGAATCTTTAAAGCAAACATATCAACCTAGAAGTCTGTATCAGACAAAGTGTATTTTTAGAAACTCAAAAAAAAAGATTTTTCCCTGACAGAAAAGCTGATTCTGCCAGGATTATAGCTCAGCGCATAGCACCTGCCTGGCAAGTGTGAGGTCATTAATTTGAGTTCTAGTACCAAAAAAAAAAAAAAAAAAGAGGATTCACTGTAGACCTACATTGTAAGAACTGTTAAAAGAAATCCTTAGCCAGAAAGATTAGACAGAAATCGGCTTCTACATAAAAGAATTAGGAACACCAGGGTCAATAACTTCAAGACTTCCCACTTGCATTTTTTTAATTTCTGTAGAATACTATTGAGCTGCATGTGATGGCTCACACTTATAATCTCAGCACTTAGGACACTGAAGCAGAAGGACTGAGGGCCAGGCTGGGCTACAAAGTGAATTTAAGGCCAGCCTGAACTATATAGTGAAACCCTGTGTCATAAAAAAAAAAAAAGAGATTGAAGCTAAAATGATAACAATGTATTTTGGGGTTTACAACATGTATGGCAGTAAAATATAAATGTATAATAATATACAAGGTGAGAAAGAATGAATTGAAGTATATTTTAAGGTTCTTAGACCACATGAGAAGTGGTTTTTTGTTGTTAGGAATAATTTAATTCAATTTAATTATTTTAATAGTTCCGCCCACCTGCCCGCCCATCCTTCCTTCCCCGCCCATGCATGATGGAAACACCATGGCCCCAGCAGCCCAGATCTCCCTGACACAGGGATGATGGTGGAACTGTGAGCAGCAAAATAAAAAGCCTCTGAGAGAAACAGCCCAGATGCTGGAATATAGCATTCTGGAGAAGACCAGAAGGAAAGAAATGGATCCCCTTGACCCAAGAAGAAAATAAAGTGAGAATCGAAGCCAAGAGAGAAAATTTTAAAAAAGAAAGAAAGAATTTTTAAAAAGAAAGAAAAGAAAAACTTAAACAGAAGGCGGTAGCCAGACGTGCGTTCACTGGCGCCAGTCACGTTGTTTGAAAAGTGCCACTGGAATCCAGAGACGCATGGTTACTGTGAAGCTGGTGGCTGGCAAGCCTGAAGGCCTCAGTGGAAAGACACGGTGGTGGAAGGGAGCAGCAGACCAGAGATCTGCACTGGCTGACAGTGAGTGTGGGGGACTCAGTCCTCCTGTGGGAGTGGGAGATTGGCTGTGCGCCATTTTGGAGTCTAGCAGGATAAGCCCAGAACCAGAACTGCAGCCGGCTTCATTCAGCCACTCCTAGCACAAAGCAGATTGGTGAAAATTGCTTGGACTGAATCCCGCCTCTGTGCACTATCCAATAGCCAAGGCCATGGTTTCCCTAAAGCTATCCCTAACCACGTGGCACACACTAATGTGGTGAAGATACCTAGCAGTTAACCAGCTCAGAAGGCAGGGGCCAGCCTGCCCCACCCCTGCTTTTAGTCACCAGCAGATTGGGGAGAGCAACAATCCAGCCAGCATGCTTCAGAGTAATTATAACCAATACAGGAAGTGTCGGGGACCCCACTACCCACTTGTCTGGAAGAAACCAGGAACAAGACAAGAGGAAGAAACAAAAGGTAGTCTCCAGCCTTCAAACCAAGCAGAACTGGCCCAAAGAGGTAAACACAGAAGAGATTGGGAGTCACACACTCCAGTTTCTGAAGCAACAGCATCTGACATAAAGAAACAACTTTGTGAAACTATAAAAGAACTTAAAACAGAAATGCTAATACAAGTAAAGGAAGATATAAGAAAAATAATAGAGGAAATGCTAAGCACTTCTCAAGAAACACAGATGGAAGAATAGAAGAGCATAGAAAAAGGAGGGGAACCGTCAATGAAGAATATAAAAAAATAGAATACATGAAACAGATTTAAAGAGACTAACCAGAAAAGTAAAAACTCCATTGAAACCTGGCAAAACTGCTTGAAAGACCACCAACCCAACCCTACAAAAATACTGAAGGACATTCTAGAGAGAAAAAAGACCATGGTTTCAGAACAGCAGCAGGGGGAGCTCACTGAACGAAGAAGACAGTGGAATGAAGGGGAAAGTAGACAACCAATGGCAGAAAAATAGCATGGCAACTTTTCAGATGGTTGGTGGTATATGTATGTGTATTTTCTTCTTGGGTCAAGGGGATCCATTTCTTTCCTTTTGGTCTTCTCCAGACCAGATGAGACGCAGAAAGTTGGCCATAATTACTAATATAGATGGCCTCAATTCACCAATAAAAAGAAACACGGGCAGAGTGGATCAGGAGACAGGGTCTATCAAGATGCTCTATATAAGAAATACAATTAACCTGAAAGAGGGTTTATAGACTAAAGGTCAAAGACGAGAAAATAATGCTCTGTGTGACAGGGAACCAGAAAAAAGTGGGGATAGCTCACCCATCAGCTGCAGATTGGTTGGAAAGACATGACACTTTTATACAATGAAGAACTACTCAGCTATAAGGAAGGAAAACCTTGAGGATCTTATAGATAAATGAATACAACTTGAGATCATGCTCAAAGGTAAAAAGGTTCAGAATCACTTGGTAAATAGCGGGTTACCTCCCTAATCTAAAAACTAAAGGAGTTAGTGGGATACAAAATGTATAATGTACCCTGTGAAAGTGAAAGAGGAGGGACTATCTAAAAAGGGAAGGCAGTGGACATTGTTAATCTTGTGTCATGATTTGAAACCCATATTGTTTTCATCCCTCTGTTTAGTTTGGTTACATTCTGTTCCAGTTTGTCTTCTTGTACTAGATTTGATGGCATGGACAGCTATTCCAAAGATAGCAGGATATACTTTGATCACCATTTTTGATTTCCTATTAACTTGATCTGAAGCCCTGTATTGCTTTCATTGTCTTGTTTTGACTGATTTTTTAAAATCTGTTTTGTTTGATCACTTTCTTGTTTTGACTGATTTAATTCAAAAATGTTTTGTTTGACAGTATCAAGTCTGAAGGTATAGGCAACTACTTTGAAGACAATAAGATTCACTATGATATCCATTCTGGTTTGACTATTATCTTCTTTTGAAGTTCTATAATGTCTCCAATGTTTTGTTTTTATTGATTTTGTTCTGTACTATTATTTTCAATGTTATGCCTGATGATATGGGCAATTCTATTGAAGATAACAAGAGACATTATGATAACTATTTTTGATCACCTTGTATTTTAGCTTTAAGTCATGTATTATGTCCACCTTTTTGTTTTGACTGACCCCATTTTGTTTTCTCTCATTTGGTTTTATTCTCTTCAAAATAAAAAATAAATTAATAAAAAATAATAATTTTAACACATACATATACCACCAACCATTTGAAAAGTTGCCAGATATATTTCAGAGAGTACATTTTGAAGTTAAGAATTGTTCTTTCTTCTATATCAAAACTAATTCCTCACATATTTACTTTAAGCCTAAAAAAAGAGGTTGGTTTTTTGGTCATAGACACATGTAATATATCTTTGAAATAGTAAAATCTAGACCTTGTTTTACAAACATGTAACTTGATACAGAGTTGATTATAACTCCTATATAAAGCAAGATGACAATAAATATGAGACTGTATCTCTATATTCATCACACTGAAAGACTTGTAAATAACTTTTCTACATGCATTTTTGTTAAGCTTTGTTATTTTAAGAAGACAAAATGAATAAATAATGCCAGTGCCAGCTCAGAAAAAAAATTTGTTAAGTAGAAGAAATATGTTATCTATTCCTCTTCATTCTCCCTTTTGTTAGCTACAAACCTCATACCCAACTCTGGCCACTGACCATGATTTTTCAGTAGTGTGTGTGTGTGTGTGTGTGTGTGTGTGTGTGTGTGTGTGTGTGTGTGTTTCTGATGTCCTATTTCCCAAAAAATGCTTCCTTCTTGCTAAGTTGCACTTGTGTGATGCATACTGACATGACATAGCTCCACAGAGAGCTACACTTTGCACTATCAGGATTTTGCCAACCCACTCTGAAGGATAAGAGGAAAAGGACAAATGATCTACTTGCTTTTTCTGTGATGTTTGGATAATTTTTCTTTAGCGTAATTTTTATACAGTAGTAGCAACAAAAACCCAAAGCAATCACACAACAGGGAAGTGTGTTGGCTCTTAGAATTTGCAGTGCAGAGATAGGAAAAAAATTAGAGTTATCTGAATACGGCTTCTTTGCTCTGCTCTATTTCTTGATACATTGATTTTTCTTTAGTCTGCTTTTTTTTCTGGTAACACTAGGGCTAAGAGTTACTAGCTACAAAATGTCTACATTTTGTAAGATACCGTGTTATTTTCCAAGACTATATTATAGGAATAAGAAAGCTTTTTCCCTAGAAGTCCTATGATTGCCTCTTCCGTGAATTAGAACAAATTGTATCTCAAGCCCATTCCTGAATCTAACCTTATGATTGAGGCAATACCATATCTGACTGCTTTATGCCAGAGTTTTTGAATCAGTCAGTCACATGAACGGAAGATTCTTGTTTGAGCTGTTTTACCCTGGATCATGGGTCTGGGGTTAACTAAAGATACATAGCTTGAAATGATGGCTGTTACAAAAAATTATATTACTTTCATGACAAGGGAAAGCAGCCCGTATGGTGAGAGGTAGTTGGTAATGTTTGTTTTATCTGTTTCATTTTGTCTAGTTTGTCATCTTTTATAATCTGCATGAACTAATCACAAGAGTATAGGTTTTAGTGTGCTCTTGTTGTGGGCTTCAGATTGCCTATACTGCAGGAATTTTGTAAGGTTTAAATTTTGTAAGGATTAAAATTAATATAGATAGGACTTATCTTACAAAAATAGTTGTTACAAGGTTTTTTTATAATATGACATTGAAATAAAATGCTTTTTTTTTTTTTTTTTTTTTTTTTTTTTTTTTTTTGCTGATACCCCTACCAGAATAGTTCTTAAAACAAGAAAATATTTTTTACATATGAAAATTTTTATGATGACATTTTGGGGGAAAATGAGTTTACAAGAATGATAGGGTTGCAGTTAAAGCTACCAAGAATAACTCAAAAGAATTGGAAGCCAGAATTATTCTTAAGACACTAATAAGCTTAATCCAAATGACATCTCAGGTGAGTTACTGAAGTGACACTCTCTTATCTCAAACATTCTGTTTCCTTATGGGGAATACATGATCTAAAATTTTGGGTTGCTTGCCTTAAAATTGCTTCATGTTAACTATTTTGTGTCAGTAGACAATAGCACAAAATACTCAAAAGTAACAGATGCTACAGAAAGCTAAACATAGAAGTAGAATCAAGAAAGTAACCTTTAACAAACTTTGTTATGTACATACCAGAGAATCTGTGGTTCCTGGGAGAAATAAAATATGATCCCAATCTCAAGAATTCTCACACCTTAAATCAGAAGGAACCTCTCAATAAATAATTACAGCAAATGGGCATGTTAGAAAAAGAAATACTACAGATTCTACTCTGGTCTTCCAGACATTTTTTAGTTAAAGATTGAAATGATAAAGTTATATGATTATTTCTCATGTTGTTTTCCTGCTAATTCACTAAGATTTGACCAGAAACCTAAACTCTACCTCCAAAAACTAGGCAGTTTTCCCTCACACTTTTTTTGTGGGTTCCTGTTTATCATAGAGAAAAACCAAGTTCTATAGTGATTGTTTTCAGGGCTGTATAAAGTCAGGCATCTTCACCATTCTCTGACCTGCTTTCCTGCACTCTGCCCTAGCCACATAGCCTCCTTTGTGTTCCTTGAGCATGCCTTATATGGTTGCTGCCACCCAGCCTTCTTGAGATCTACCATGACTACTTTATTCAAAAATGCAACCTTCCTCAGAACTCCTGATCTCTTTCACCTTGCCTTTGTCTGTAGGCTGGGGATTTGGCTCAGCAGCATAAACATCTGCCTGGGTTTTGTCTTTCTCCTACCACTTATTCTCTACTAACTTTCTATAGAATTTGCTTATTACTTTTCCCCACCTTCTATAAGGATAGGGGTTTTTGGTTTTATTTGTTCACTGTTATGTTCCCAGTGCCTTAAATTATAAGATGCATGGTAGATGCTCAGTATTAATTCATTAACTGAATAAATGATGAATATAGTTAATGAATGCCAGTAAAATTTACATTTTTTTTCAAGAAGGCAATATAGACATTTCTCATTTAGTGACCAAGTTATATTCCTGCTTCTAGGTTAGTAAGTGAATTGGTCACTAAATAAGGAGTTGTATATTGTATGTACATTACAATATTCAGAAAAAAGAAATGGTCAAAGAAAACTCCAACTTGTTGACTTAGCTTTTATTTGCATAACTTATGCAGTATTGTAATAAAAGAACATAAAACTACAGAACTATACAGTATAATCAGCAAAAATACTGTATAAACAAGGTGTACTGTACAGAAAAAACACTGAGGCTATATAAACAAAAAATATAGAACTGTTTACACACACACACACACACACACACAAATGGGCCATAAGTCCAAAACAGTATGCTGATAAGGAATATCTATACTGTGCTCATTCTGGTAGCACTTGACCAAGGTACGTCCTGTGTTTTATAGACAAAGTTGATAGAATTGGGAGATATTTGCAGTAGCTCCAGAGGTTACACTTTAGTGTATCTAAATAAGAAAAAAGGAAGCTTTCAATGGCTTTCTAGGTTAGCTTCCCAGTATTTCTTATATGCATTCCCTCAAAGTTTTGAAAATCAGATAATCCATACATGAAGAGATAATACTGTTTTCCTTCCATCCATGGGACATCAGTTTTTCTTTGTTAGTAATAATGTGAATAGGGGACATGTTTGCCGGGGTGTTAACTAGATTCAGGAGTATAGGCTGTGTCTATGAAACTGAATTTGTTTCTGTGTCAGTCTAACTTAACTGACTCAATATCACATTTGCCTGCACAGTTTTTTGTATGGATTATGGGATTCAGAAATTGGTGTTAGTTCAGTTTGATGCTCCAGTGTACCCAGTTACTATTTCTTTTAACACAGTAAGAATATTTTTCCTGTAAAATGGCCTGTTCCTTGGAATGAAAACAGCAGTAGGTCTCCATAACTTAGGTAGTGTTTAGTACTGGACTGTTTAGTTTGTAAAAATATTTGACTAGACTGAGCTTGTGGCCTGATGATGTTTAGAAGAATGTTAAAGTGTAACTCATAAAAGATGCCAGCAAAAATCATAGTTGGAAGACTTGAATAATGATTGCATCATTTTCCTGGTAGGTGTGACCAAACGTGAAAATCCATCACTGCCATTTGTGAAATATATTGCTAAGAATAAAGTTAACTGGTATTCTGTGAACTGCATTAGGTATCAAGATGAAATATCCGCCAGTGCCTTGATCATTGTCCCACTGTCTTTACATTGTTAGGAGAGCTTTTTTCTTCATTGTGTCTTGGTGCCAAAAATAGCAGTAATATTTTCCCCACGTTTAATGAGCATTTTTGTTCAGTGAAAACCTTGAACACACCAGGTTTTTCTTTGTGATGTTACTTTGATGTCAAGTATATTCCTGTTAGCAAACAAGTTCTTGGAATATTTTATAACTTAAGTTCCTAAAATAGCTTCTCTTTGATAGAACTGTGAAGGGGAGGAAGAGGAGGAAGACCGGCGGCTGAAAAGATAAGAAGTATAAAATATAAGTAACCTTTATTTTGGGAATGTGGGGAGAGACACCCCTGACCCCCTGGGGCGTGGCATCTCCACCCCGGGCAGGCAATCTCTCCGTGGAACATGTGGAGTGAGGCACATAAGTAGCCTCGGCCTGGGTTGGAACCCAAGGGGCATTAGGGATGCACAGGTAGCCCATTGGTCTTAGTTTGGCGCCAGAGGCAATTCCTAAGGGTGGGGGTCCGGCCTAGGTCAGCAACCCTTTCACTCTTAAAGTCTAAAAACCAATGCAGCATGAAAAATTAACCTTATTTGGTCAAAAGAAAACAGAGTTTTTTTAATGATATACAGTAATAGGACAGCACAATAGATCAGATTTCTGAACTAATAATGCATATGCAAAATATTTCAGAATTGAAAAAATGCATTAAAATGTTTAATTCTCCCTGATTTAGCACAGAGTAATTCTAGAAATGTAGAATGTGCAATTCCTTGACTCCCATTGTGAAGAAGCATACTCCTACAAAACTGACAAAATGTGTTCCTTTGCAGTATGAATTTAGCTGTGTTAATAGAGTCATTAGTAGAGTAGATGGGATAACATCACCATACCCACTTTTTGCAAAGGAATACACCTAAAAAAGAATGGGGAACAAACAGACAGAATGGAAACTAAATAATTGGCATCTGAGAGATTAAGATGTAGTAGAACATGAGAGGCAGGTAGCAAAAGGAAAAAGTATTCCTGTTTTTTCTTGAGCCCATAAATATGAACCCACTCTCTTTGAAAAGATAATATTATAATGGAACTTACATTTTTTTTGTTTTTTTTGTTTGTTTGTTTGTTTGGTTTTTTTGTACCAGGAATCAAACTCACCACCTCACACTTGCCAAGCAGGTGTTTACACCACTGAGCTAAATCTCTGGCCCCTGAAACTTACATCTTAACTAATAAAGTGTGAGTAGGATATAGGACCTTACTCCATGTAAATCAAACACAAGCCTCTTTATCTACAATAGTTCTTCATCCACTACCAAAAAAAAAAAAAAAAATGGGGAAGAGTGAAAAATAAACATCAGCCTTTTATTTTTTTAATAGTTGGAAACCATTCTTAAAAATCTCCTTTTCTGGGGCTGGGCATTTAGCTCAGCAGTGTAAGTGACGGTGTGGGAAACATGAGGTTGAGAGTTCAATCCCTGGCACCAAAAAACAAAAACAAAAAAATCTCCTTTTGCAGGCAGGTGTAATGGCATAAACCTGTAATCTCAACACTCGAGAAGCTGAGGCAGGAGAATTATTATGAGTTCAAGGCTAGCCTGAACTACATAGCAAGACCCTGTTTGGGAAAAAAAAAATAGAAACAAAAATCTCCTTTTTCACCATTCTTACGTGTGTCTAATGCTGTATTGTTCTTATTTTGTGCTTTTACTTTATTATACAACCAAAACGTAAGTCTGAGGACACACAAAAGGACCTGAGAGAAGATCCACAGTTTCAAAAGTGCCTTAAACTCTCTACTTTCTCTGTAGAATATCCACGATAGTTGTGGGAGTGAAAAACAGTGTCAAAATCAACAAAACCAAAATTTGGTCCTTACTGCAGCAACATTGACAAACCCTTAGCTAGACTGGTCAAAACAAGACAACTAAATTACTAAAACCTATGATGAAAAAACCTATGATGAGAAATTAGTATGACTCTACGGAAATAAAAGGAAGTATAAGAAATCATATACCATATGTAAAAAGCAACACAAAGTTAATCAAGACCTAAATGTAAGAGCTTAAACTATAAACTCTTAGACATTAGCAGAAGTAAATTTTTATAACCTTAGATTAGGTAGTAATTTCTTAAATATGACACTAAAAGCATAAGCAACCTGAGTAAATGAATGAATCATTATCAATGTTAAGAGAGTTAAAAAAAAAAAAAGTGCAGCAAACCTACAACTGCACTGGTGATCCTGCCCTCCACCTAGCTGACTTTGGTGGGTCTGTGATCATTCTGGTGATGCTGCCCTCCACCCTGGCAACTGCGAGAAAACCAGCCACACAGTAAGACCCTGACAACAGTGCACACAAGACATACGTAAAACTAGCAAGAATTAAAACACTGAAATTCGAACCAAACAGTAGAAAATGACAAAATGAAAAAGCAAATGTAATCTCAGACCTCTAGCTCGCCCAGAACAAGTACAGGAGATACTGAAATAGAAAAATGAAAAGACATACACCTGAGATTACTGGAAGGATAGCAAGTAAAGTAAAGAAGCAAATCCATGAGGCGTTAGATGAAATCAGATCAGAAACAGTCTCTTAGGTTAAAAAAGAAATGCAATCCATAGTGAAAGGATTACTCAACATAGCTAGAAAACATATGGACAGAAAAGTAGAGGAGCACATGAAAATGATAGAAACCTTGAATGAACAATGTAGGAAAGGATTGGAGTGCATGAAACAGATTCAAACAGATGTCCAGGAAATTAAAAATTCCACTAAAAGCTGGAAAAACTTCTTGAACGAAGCTGAAGATAGACTTTCACACCTTGAAGATAAGATTGAGGCTTGTGACCATGAAAGAAAAGATCTTTTTAAAATAGCAAGAAACTATGAAATAACAATTCAACCGCTGGGCATGGTGGCTTATGCTTGTAATCCCAGCACTCGGGAGGCTGAGGCAGGAGGATTGTTGCGAGTTCCAGACCAACCTGGGCTACAAAGTGAGCTCAAGGCCAGCCTGAACTACATAGAGACCCTGTCTCAAAAAAAGGCAAAAAAAAAAAAAGTAAGAAAAAAAAATTCAACAGCTCCAAGACGATGCAAGAAAAAGAACTTAAAACATACGTGTGTCAACGAAGAAGCAGAAGTCAACACAAATGACATTTAAAAACTATTTGCAGGAGTAATAGAAAATTTCCCAAGCATGGGAACAGAGTCTGACATATAGGTAAGTAAGGCATGTAGTACCCTAAACAGTCATAACCAAAATAAATCTATACCAAAACTTATAATAATCAAGATCCCAGATATTCAGCAAATCTGCTAGAGAAAAGAAATAGATCACTTATAAAGGAAAACCCATTAGAATCCAGGCTGACTTCTCAATACAAACCCTCGACTAGGAAGAACTTGGAGTGAAATATTTCAAGCCCTGAAAGAAAACAACTTCCAACTTAGATTGATGTACCCTACAAAACTATCTTTTAAAATTAATGTAAAAATAAGATACTTCATGACAAAGAACAACTGAAGAAATTCATGAGCACCAGCCATATATAGAGTACTGAAAAGAAATTCTAGATAGTGATAAAAATGCCTACAATTCCAAGAACAACATCATAAACAAAAAATTGGGCAGAGCAAGCAATTAAACAGAGACTAACCAACAGGAAACAGGGACCAACCAATGGGAAAATAACATGATAAAGACAAGCCAATGCAAATTAATTATAACTATCAATGTAAATAGCCTGAATTTACCAACCAAAAGAAATAGACTGGCAGAATGGATCAAGTAACATGACCCACTAATATGCTGTATAAAAGAAACATTTAATTCAAAAGAAAACTTACTGACTGAAAGTCAAAGAATGGAAAACAATACTACATGCAACAGTTATCCTGTTTGCAGACACATGAACTTCAAACCAAAAATGATAAAAAGCAATAAAGGTTGCTGAATGCTTGTTAGAGAAAAAAATTCAAGAGAAAGCAATAACAATCATAAAAATACATTCACCCAAATATGAGAGTGCTAACTATATAAGCAATAACACTGTTGTTATGGGGGAACTTAATACCTCACTATCACAAAGAGATAGATCAACTAGACAAAATCAGCAAAGAAGTAACACAACTGAATCAAATATGTGAACAAATGGACTTAATATATGTTTACAGAGTGTTCCACCTAACATCAGCATACACATTCTTCTCAGCTGTGCACGTGTCATTCTCTAAAACAGATCATATAGTAGCCCACATAACATGATTAAGTAAGTGCAAAAGAATTAAAATTATTCTACACATATTATCTGACCATAGTGTAATGAAATTGGAAATTAATGGCAAAAGAAACTGCAAAATTCCCATAAACACATGGAAATTAATACCCTCCTGAACAACCAATGGGTCACAAATGAAATTATCAAACAAGTTAAACAATATCTATAATCAGATGAAAATGCAAACACAGCATACCAAAACCTGTGGAATGCAATAAAAGCAGTCCTAAGAAGGAAATTTATCCCAATGAATTCACACATCAGAAAAACAGAGAAAATATAATTAATCTAATGCAACAATTAAAGTATCTAAAAGAGGAGCACGTCAAGCCCAAAGCCCATAGACAGGAGGAAATTACAAAGATTAGAGCGGAAATTAACTGAAGTGAGACTAAGAATACAAAGAACTAAAAAAATCAAAGAATTGGTTCTTTGAAATACTCAAAAAATTGATAAAATCCTAGCCAACCTTATCAAAAAGAGGAAAAAAAAACTCAACTTCGTGCATTGAGGAATGAAAAGAACGAAATTACCACAGATCCTGTGGAAATTCAGAAGATCATCAATACCTACTTCGAAAATCTGTACTCACATAGGTTGCAAAACAAAGAAGGTATAGACTACTAAAAATGTATGAACTAACAAAGCTGAATAAAAAAAATGTAAAACTTCTGAATAACCCAGTATCAGTTAATGATATTGAAAAATGTAATTAAAAACTTATCAATAAAGAAAAGCCCAGGTCGTGCTGCACTCACGGCTCAGTTCTACAAATTTAGAGAAGATTTAATGCCAGTACTCGGCAAACTCTTTAATGAAATTGAAAAGGAAGCAATTCTCCATAATAACTCCATAAATAACTCCTAGAGGCAAGTATTACCCTGATACCAAAACCAGAAAAACACTAACCAAAAAAGGAGCTACAGACCAATCTTTCTAATGAACATGGATGCAAAAATCCTCAATAAAATACTAGCAAACAGGATGCAGTAAATATCAAGATTATACACTATGATGAAGTGTGACTTATCCCAGGAATGCAAAGATAGTTCAACATATGCAAAACAGTAAATATAATGCACCATATTAACAGAGCCAGAGCCAAAAATCACATGGTCATCTCAATAGATACAGAAAAAGTTTTTGACAAAGTTCAAAACTCATTCATGGCAAGTACCCTAGAGAACAGATGGTCTGTACCTCAATCTGATAAAAGCCATGTATAATGAACCAACATCCAACATCATACTAAATGGAAAAAAAACTGAAAATCTTTCATCCTAAAATCAAAACAAGACAGTGATGTCCACTATCACCACTCCTACTCAGTATAGTTCTGGAAACATTAGGCAGAACAACTAGCAAAGAGACATAAAAGAAAAAAGGCTAGGAGAGGAAGAAACTAAATCATCATTATTTGCAGGTGACATGACACTTTACATTGAAGAGCCCCAAAAACTCCACCAAAAGTTTACTAGATTTCTTAAGCAAATTCAGTGGTGTAGCTGGATACAAAGTCAACACTCAAAATCAATAGCATTCCTAAATACAAGCAATAAAAGCACTGAGAGTGAAATTAAGGAAACAGTAGTTTTCATGATAGCATCCCAAAAATGAAATACATAGCAATCAATATAACAAAGGAAGTAAAAGGTCCATATATTGAAAACTACAGTTCTCTGAAAAAGGAAATCGAAGAAGATCTCAGAAAATGGAAAGATATTCCTTGCTCATGGATAGGAAGAACAAACATTGAAAATGGGCATTTTCTCAAAATTGTTATACAGATTGATTGCAATCCTGATCAAAATACCATTAGCTTACCTCAAAATCTAGAGAAATCATTCCTAAAATTCATCTGAAACCAAAAGAGACATAGAATAGCAAAGGCAACGCGGAGCAACAAATGCAAGGCAGGATGCATCACAATCCCTGACTTGAAATTAAGCTACTGTAATAAAATCAGCTTGGTACTGACAAAAAATCAGATCTGAGGGTCACTGAAACAGAACAGAAGATATAGACACAACTACAAACACACTCAACCACATTATCTTTGATAAAGGGGCCAAACATGTTCACTGGAAGACAGTCTCTTTAATAATGCTTGGAAAACTAGCTTCCCCACATACCAAAGACTTAAACAAGACCCATGCCTATCACCATGCACTAACCTAATGTCAAAATGGATCAAGGATCTAAATATTAAAACAGAAATGCTAACTCTACTAGAAGACTAAGTAGAAATCTCAAAGATAAAGGGTTAGGTAGAGAGTTCATGAACAAAAACTAAACTGCGTGGGATGTACTTCAAAGAATCAGGAACTGAGATCTCATCTTACTAAAAAGTTTCTGCACATGAAAAGAAATCACCAGCAGAGTGGAAAACATTGCCACAGACTGGGAAAAAGTTTTTGCCAACAATCTCTTGAACAAAAGACTTTTATCTAGAACATATAAAGAATTGGAAAAAATCAGGCCCCCAAATTCAAAGACTCAATCCAAAAATGAGCATCTCAGATGAAATACAAATAGCAAATTAATACATGAAAAGATGTTCAGCATCATTGGTTGTTAGAGAAATGCAAATCAAAACAATGCTGACACTCCATCTCATTCCAGAGAGAATGGCCAAGATCAAAAAATCAACCAGTAAGAAATGCTGGAAGGGCTGTGAGGAAAAAAGAAACCTGCATTGTTGGTAAGAGTGTAGACTGGTGCAACCACTGTAGAAATTAGTGTGGTAATTTCTCAAAAAGCTAGGATTAGAAGTCCCATTTTACCCAACTATTCTTCCATCTGGGTATTTTCTCAGAAAAACTGAAAGCATACCATACTGATAATATGTGTACCCATGTTTATAGCAGCACAATTTGTAATAACCAAATCTTAGAAACAACCCAAATGTCCTTCAAATGAGGAATGGATAAAAAAAGATGTGATAATTTTATACTATAGAGTACTACTCAGCTATAAAGAAGGATCAACTTGTGGCTTACTTTTATAGGTAAAAGAATGCAACTTGAGACCATACTGATAAGTGAAATAAATCAGACTCACATACACAAGTACTGTATTGTCTCCTAAGGGTAAGAAACTGAAAGAATAAATAAGATACAAAATATACAGTAGATACTGTGAAAAGGTAATAAACTGCTGAAAGGGAAAAAAACAACTGGGATGGGGAAAGGAAGAAAGGAAAAAGATCTAAATGGTGTGTGTGTGTGTGTGTGTGTGTGTGCGTGTGTATGATAGCTAAGATTTTCTATTAGTTCATGGAAAAGAACAGTTAGTACTCATATGGTTTGATTGATTTTGCATGTAGGTCTCTGGTAATCTAAGCAACTCTCTTGAAGATAACAATATGCAATATAGCGACCACTGTTAGATTCCCATTCTCCTATTTTGAAAGCCTATATTGTTATGTTTTGGGGTTTTTGTTGTTATAGTTATACTAGTTGTTTGTTTATATCTTTTGCTTTTTGTTTTTTCTGTTTTTTCTCCTTAAATAAAAATTTTTTTAAAAAGCAAAAAGACAAGTCACAGAATGAAAGAATATATTTGGAAATCACATCTGCTAATGTACTTCTATTTAGAATAAATATCCCTTGTATCTTAATAATCAAAAGAAAATCCAGTAGAAAAAAATAGACCTGAATAGGCATTTCTTCAAAATAAGTATTTTCTGAATAGGCATTTCTTCAGAAAAGGTTAAAAAATAACAGATAAAATACATAAAACAAGCTCAGAGCAAGTAACTGTCAGAAAAATGCATATCAGTACCCCCATGGAAATACCACTTCATACGTGTTAGAATGACTGTGATCATAAATACTATAACATGTGTTACTGAATAGGTGAATATCTGAAATTTTCTTATCCATCATGAGAGTTTAAAATGGGTCAGCTGCTTTAGAAAACATTCTGGCAGTTCCTCGCAGTATTAAACAGATAGTTACTATGTGACCCAACAATTCTGTTCCCAAACATATAACCAAGAAAAATGAAAGCATATGTCCACACAATAACTTGCATTATGAATATTTGTATCACAATTATTCATTGTACCTAAAAAATAGAAAAAAGCAGTGTCCATCAAACAGTGAATGAATAAATAGAATGTGATATGTCTATGCAATGGAATAGTACCTTTCCCATAAAAAAGAACAAAGGATATGTTACAATGTGGATGAACCTTGCAAAAATTGCATAGAAAAAAGCTTCTCTAAATGCCGCATATTACATGACTCCATTTAAATGAATTATGTATGGTGAACAAATACACACGTACTGCATTAGCTTTCTTAGTGCTGTCACAAACAGCCTAACACTTGCAGTGTTTTGCCACCACTGCTTTATATCTCAATAAAGCCTATATATAAAATTATGTCAAGAATAATATGTTGTTAAAAAAGGAAGCTCTTGTTATGAAAATAGTATGGAAATCCCACCAAACAATGAAAATTCAACTACTACATGATCCAGTAATCCCTCTACTGGGTATATGGCCAAAAAACTGACATCTGCACTCTCATGTTCATTTACTCACAATAGCCAAGTTATA